TATTTTTTTATAAACAGTTTTATTTTGGCAAGCGCTCGGAGAGCAGCCAGCGGAGAGCACGTGACATCAGCCGCAACCGTGACGTAGATTGTTTCGGGACGAGCCAAGCTGCGACGAGGCTGACGTCGTTCCAGCCACCAGAGCGGCCGAAGCACGCCAGCGATCGGGACACCGCAACTAACCACAAAGCTGCTGTTGTACGAATGTTGAGTGTCGGGTTAATCTCAGGAGATGGGAGTTCCTCCTTCACCTGTTCTCTCGTGGTGGCCGGAGGCGAGACAGTGATCGTAAGGTTCCTAGACGGCGTTACAAACGATGCGTTAGGACATCTACCAGGTGCTCTTTGCTAATCGTTGAATTCGTTTTAAATTTTCTTTTCGTGTCTTTTTCAACAAAAGGTTGGTATGTCTGATGTAATACTGCTCCCTTGAACACGAATAGACCAAGAAATAAGTGCCGAAATTTTGTTCTAGTATCCCTTCAACGGGATACTGACCTGAAATGCACCCAGCGTCTGCGTAAAACAGACGCTGGGTGCACCGCGTATTTCCCGCCGAAGACCTTATTGTAGTAAATGGACAAAGGCCCTTTCATTTTGTATACACACATAACACATGGGCGTTTTTCCTCTCTTTCGTTGGTTGTGCGTCGCAGGAAATCATGAATTTCAGATGACAACTCACCATTTGGCTGGGCCCATAGTTTTACATCATTGTTATATCCATGCTAAGTAGCTCTATCCGCCAAGTAAGCACGTCAGGAGCTATATATAACTGAAAACCACGTCTTATACTTTATTGCGGGGTTGGGAAGGAAAATACATTGCATGTACTTAAAGTCTTACTTCAGTTAGACTGGGAAAACGTATCATTATCATAATCATCATTTATTATTCCTTGAAGGCCCAGGGGGTATTATACAAGGGAGTGAACACTTCAAAAGCAAACAAATAACACAACTATTTATCAACAAAAACACGCTGCAATCTAGTTATAGGTTAGAAAAAAATAAGCTAATGGCTGCAGAAAATTTTTTAGTGTCAGATAAGGAAACAATTACGTCAGGCAGTGAGTTCCAGTCGTCAATGGCCAATGGTAAAGTAGACATTTGGTGAGTGACGGTTGACGATGAAATTGGACGGAGTTAACAAGAATGGTCGAGACGAGAGAAAATGCGGTAAGGAGGGGATAGCAAAGTCTGTCTGACATGACTGAATAAAAGATCCGATGAAGATCGGATCTTTTAAAAATGGACTTTAAGTACATTTTTGCGTGTGTACCTGTATTTTCCTTTTTGTTTTCTGGTACTTTCCGAGGAAAGTATAACTCCCGACTTCGAAGTACATACCCCTAATTTGAAAACAAAAACATGGCATATCGTCATGTAGAATCCCGCTATCGTCTTTCTAGACGTCATGTGGCCATTTTTTTTGAGTAAGGTAATGGCGGCTATAAGACGGATATAAATAAGTGCCTCATAAGTTGACTGTGTTAAATAGTTCGTCAGCGAGAGTAAAACAATTACTCCGAGGCAACTTTATCCAATCTTTGCCGCCGCTTCCGAAAATAACGGATGCAGCACCATTACCCCTAAAGCAATGCATAAAAAAAAAAAAGAAGAGTACTGTATAAGGGAATGAAATGGCATCGTGAAAGATAGTGGTAAAAAGTACTTGTACTTTACTTCGAAAGTACATTGTACTTATAGTACATTACTTCAAGTACATGGTGCCTAGTGCGCTTATACTTTACTTGAAGTACCTGTCCTCTAATTTACTTTGTACTTTACTAAGTACGTGTTAGATGTACTTTACCCAACACTGCTTTATTGTAGCTTATTCACGAAAGTGGTCGCGTTGTGCGATTTGCAGGCGCGCTTGGCGTCATATTTCACACGCGTCTGTTCGTTTCGCCCACAATTAATGAAAGCTCAGTTTATTTGATTTTTTTTTGCAAAAATGGCGCTTTGAAAAAAACAACAAAAACGTCTTCTATTATAAGAACAAGGTTTCATTATCATTCATATTTTGATAAACGTAAAAGTAACTAATTTATATACTGCTAAGTTTTATTATGTACCCGGGAGTGATGTAGGAATGCAATAATTGAAGGTATTTTTATATTCTTTAGAGCCATCACCCACACGCTATTCTCTCGGTGCAGGGCGTCTTTTGGGCAGTTCGGTTGAACGGAATCTTGTTTGTAGGGTCCTAATGTTTTGTTGGAAAAAAACAAGTGAATACACAAATCTGCACTAGTGTCTCTTTTCAGAGCCCCCTGTGTCATATTTGAGTAGGATATCTTGAAATGCTGACAGTCGCCTTCGTTGCCTGGTTCCCTAATTCGTCTGATAAGTGATGGCTCTCGCTTGGGATGTAAAGCGTCAAATAAAAATGGCAATGATTGTTGGGCGAGTTAATGCTAAGTTGGTGCGTTTAAAATCTAACAAAAATCGGCATCTCTCGTAACTTTTTTTACTGCCTTTCACTTGTGCCTTAGTCAAATGAAAATATTTACATATACGTTTTTAGAATGTACATGGTAGCCACGTGCACTTTAAAATGCACCTTTAAATGTTTTCATTTTATATGGCGCGTGAGGAAGAGACAGTAAAAGAGCCACGAGAAATACCGATTTGAGTTCGATCGAAATAATTACCTGTGTCTGACTAAAGCCAATAAAAAACACTAAAGTTAGCGGAAAACGTAAGTACATTACCAAAAGAAAAATGCTGATAAGATCATATATTATATGTTTGCAACTTTGATCTAAAACCTATTTTTCTGACATTGCCTATCAGAAAGTCTGTCGCTTCTCACGTTCATGGTAAAAAGTGGCAATTCGACAAGGGAAAAGAGGTACGTTTTACGGAAATATTTGTGTGTGTTAGCATCACCTTATGAAAGCTGCAATATATGTAGAAATTAAATACGGGGAACGACTGGTATTTCTTCGCTGAAATAAGTGCCAAAATCCGGCTATGATGAGGAAGACAACGGCGAAGAGAAGATTCGCGTGAGAGCGTGACGACCCGCCCACGAGGTTTCAGGAACTCCGGGGGGCCAGTCGCGCTTGACACTTTGCCCTGTAAGTACCCACGCCGTGTTCCAGCAGAGGACCCTGCGAGGGTCCGGGCCCTCCTGGAATTCACTGATCGATTAACGCTGTCTTTGCTGCCGACGTGCGCCTGATGGACCTCCAAAGGTTTTTCGCACTAGACTGCCTCGTTCGAAATGCCGCGATGCCCCATGGCTTAGCATAATACAGACCTCGTAGCAGCGCCTTTCTGAGAACTGGTGGAGAAAATAGCAGTTTTCCTCTCAGAATCGTCGTTGTATTGAGCTCTCCGGCACATGCCGAATGCAAGCAATCCAAAGACACGTTTGACACCATTGAGAGCTCACACATTTAAGATAAGTTTCTTCCAAGTTCCGATAACTACTATACGAACGCGCGAGACATGCGCCAATAGCGAGTGCTAGAAGAACAACATGGCGGCTCAATATATACAGGGTGTCACAAATGAAAATTTACACGATATTTTTTACCGCAAAAATGAACTAGGCATCGCCGAACGCTCATTCTCCGCCCAAAGGTAGAGCTAGAGGTCACAACCAGATGCCAAAGTTTCAGCCCGATCCGATAACTTATTCAAAAGTTATAAGTGATTTTCTGAAAATTTCAATGGGAAAATGGAGCCCATTTTTGCCCGTTTTCGGTTTCTGGTGCCATAGAGCCCCATGCGTTTGAAAACTCCGTCGGCCGCCATTTTTCCATTGAAATTTTTAGAAAATCACTTATAACTTTTGATTAAGTTATCGGATCGGGCTGAAACTTTGGCATCTGGTTGTGACCTCTAGCTCTACCTTTGGGCGGAGAATGAGCGTTCGGCGATGCCTAGTTTAGTTTTGCGGTAAAAAAGACCGTATAAATTTTCTTTTGTGACACCCTGTACATAGCTCGCAAGTGTCGCCATTGCTGGGTACTGACGGCTATTTCTGCTTACTGGTTTCTTCGGACTACAGCGTCTGCGGTGTGAAACTAACACGGCAAACCGAACGCTCGCGGAACATAAAATACTGGCACAGCCGCGAATGACATTAGATGCCATCTACGTATAGTGAGTTTTAGAATAGGGAGTATTCAGTGGCGGCCATAGTTGTGTGCGCGACTGCTGAGCGCGTGCTGATGGCGAGCTTCAGCAGTTTTTCTTCAACGTGCATTCCGCACCATCAAGATTGCCGTTTTGAGCATGCGCTCTAAACATCGTCCTCAGATATGGCTTTCAGTGAATGCCCCCTACGCGGGGCCCCAACGTAAAAGGGCCCCTAAGCCATAGGGGGACGCGACCGCTTCAACACGTGGAGTGACATGTTTGCGTTTCTCGCAGGCAGCCCCAATACGGTTAACGAGCGAAATTAATAAAGTAAGAATTATATTAAAATATATATTTGCGCTTTACAAGCACTTTTTGTTGCTCGTATCACAAATAGTGTGTAAGGTGAAAGCAAATCTACAAGTTTCGTTTTAGAAATCATTAAATGTTTGGATGTTTGAAGTCAAAAACAAATCAATAGGATTCGAACAATGCGCTTTGGTCTTTCGTCGTTTTCATTTTCACCGAATGGCGAACAACATCATCATGATTTGCCGACTGGCAAAGTAGATTTCGCTCTGACTTACAGCGAAATGAAGCCCAGAAATTATTCCCTGAAACAGACATATTCTTGCAGGGTACCTGCCACGTACTGTTAAGTATTTATCTGTTATGCATCACCGAAGGCAACGCCCGGCGAGGGGAGAAATTGCAAGCTGAGGAGAAGGAGCGAAACCACCTCCCCTCTCAAACGCTCTTAGTCTTAGTGCTCTTCCTTTCGCCCCTCGCCTTCCATTGCCCTCCTCTGCCGTCCCACCTTTCTATAGTGCTCGCTCCTTCTCTCTTCGCCTGGCGCTGCCTTCGCCTGCAATGCACACAACTAGACCCAATTCGTATGTTTTGCTTCTTTCCACAGAGCATCAAGATCTTCTAAATTTCCTGTTTCTTGGTTCATCGGCGATGGTATGAAATTCCCGTTCTGAGCTCCATGGACGTGGATCGGGAGCCGAGGGTTAAACGATAGCCTGTGTCAGTCTAAGAAAAGCAAGGCAAGCTCATCCCACAAAGCCCTCTTCAGCAAAGCCAGCACCGGAGAGGAGGAAGGGGCTTGGTGGGACGTGCTTGTCCCGTTTACCGGCAACACACCAAGTAAGGCCTCGCGAATCTTCCCCACATAAGCCTGCACTGTCGCCAGTTTGATTATGAACCTTGAAAAAGACCGGCTATAGTTATTTATTTATGGATAGTGCCTGCCGCGGTGTAGCCAAGGGGTGAAAGAAATACCTAAGTACTTACACTCTACTCTGGTGCGTCTGCTCTCTCGAAAAGCAGTTGGGAGGGCGCTGCAGTCTACGTAGGGAGCTTGGCGGATGGCTTATGTTAAGACCCCAAAGGACGGTCTGCGCTCAGGCACTAATCACGGTCAAACGTCGTGATCAGTGCCCCAGCGCAGAGAGGTCTTCTAGGACACACCGTCACCCGCCGAGGGCTTTCCCAAGTGCTCCGCGGGCGATCACACGCTCCAGAGCGATCAGGGTCTCACGTGACGTATATGTGATATGACAGTGTGTGACGTGCCACTATATGTGTCACGTGACGTGAGGTCACTTGATGCCAGTTTTTCCGCTAAACTTAGCGAGAAATGGACGAAAGGACGAACAGACAACAAAAAAAGATGTCGCGATGGGAATATACCGCCGAGACGTCGGAACAGGAGGCTATCCTCCTCCCGAACGCTTCCGACGTCCCCGGGGGTAGCGTCTCTTGGGGCATTAAAATTAAACCAGCGGACGTGTTCAAGCGGTTGAGCTCTCCCACGTCACACTAGAAGAGTCAGCGTTACGTTTAACGTGACGTGTCGTTTGTATCATAAATGGGCGCCCAGCAAAAACTAACCCCGCTCAGCTATAGTATGACTCGTTGTTTGTTCTCCTATACTCAGTTCAATATGGGTCAACTGATATTCAACCTCTGCTGTTCATACCGTGCCTAAGTCACCGTATTTTCCGGACTACAGCCCGCGGACTGTATGCATGTTTCAAAGTTGAAAATTTAGGCTGTGCGGACTATCTACGCGTGCGGACTGTACAGGGATTTCGTTTTTCAAGATCGTTCATTATGTCGAGACGTGACGGTTTTTGTTAATGAAAGAGTATGTTAATGGTGCCTTACGTATAATACAAGCTTCTTTGTGAGCTAAGAAAACATATTTTTCAAGGTGTGTCCTGTATGAGAAGATTTTCGTGTCGACTAAGCGTGTTTGCACGGAGTGCGGACTATGTACCGGGGTGCGGACTGTCTAAGCAAAAACTTCCAATTTTCGGCGCATACATGGGCTCTTGCCGACTATACACCTTGTGCGGACTATAGCTCAAAAAATACGGCAGTCTTTCCTGGGAAGGAATGGTTAACCCCGTCTAACTCCGATCGCAGCCGACGCTACGACCCGACCAATCAAGCAGCGCCAAGTGTGCGTCGTCACGACGTCTTTGTGCATTTGCCATTAAACTAATCGCGCTCTCTAATGGCGCCGCGATCCTGCGCTTTTTGTTGTTTCGCGCCAGATTGGTTAATACTTGGCATTTATGGGGACAGGAGGAGAGCCCGCGCGCAGCTTCAAACTCTGGCGATTTTCTGAGCTCCCCCCACTAACTATATATTCCGAATCCCCGGCGTTTACCCTTTCCGGTATGCTAGCTATTTAGTATCGCGAAATTCATAACTGATATTGTGAAATCGGCGAATGAAAATGTTGCAAAAACAAACATTCAAATGTACCCGCACTTTTTAGTGGGGTGACGTCGGTGGAAGGAAGGCTTGCCAGTTGAGCGTGCAGTCTGAAAAAGAGACCGAACATTTGTTTCTTGCCGGTGCGGATGTTCTGGAGCGAGCTTCCAAAGCATTCATTTGACACCACGAGACTCCTTGCAATCAGTTGGCAACAAAATCTCCAAAGAGTGACCCCCTGCCTTGCGCTGACGCCACATTTTCGTCGTTGCCAGTGGAGACGTTCAGTTCGAAAAACACGGTGAGGACCGAAATTGTAAAATCAATAACTTCGCAAAAACCAATATTTTCTTATAATGTTTGGGATACTTTTTCAGCGATGTCCGTTGCTTTTTTAAATCAAATTTTCGAGCAAATCAAGTTCCATGAAGAAATCGCCGGAGTACCTAAAGACACACTTACGCGTCGCGACCGACTACAACCGACTGAGACAGGATCTTGCGACGGTTTACGACCGGTTGCGCTGCTGTGGAGCCGGTCACAAGCCGCCATGAAAGTATTAAAAACCGCTTTGTATCCTCTCCGGCCGTAAGAAGTCGCAACTGTGCGAACGGGCCATCAAAAACCCGCCTTGTCTCACTCGGTCGCAAGTCTGTGAACGGGCCTTTAGCACGGCGTGCCCGACGATGCACTTTTGCCGCTGCTGGATCCGCACCATCCGTTCGTAGCGTCGGCTGGGGTCGGGCTCCAGTAAGACGGAGTGTATGCAGAGAAGGAGGCGTCATGCAGAGCGATGAATAAGACCGCACAACGGGCGTAAATGAGATAAAACGGCAGGAGGAAACATTACTCTGAGGAAGTGTTCGGGACTGGCTGTGCTCTTCCCTCAAACGTCAGGAGCCAGAGGCAATGCTGAAGAGTCCCGAGACCCACATCACTAACGGAGCGTCCAGGGAAGGGTTTCGCGAGTTTGAAGACTCGCACAACAGTGCTCCCGTGAGTGCATCTTTTTTGTTTTCCTATTTTTCTTTTTTGTATCGTTCGTTGTAAGCTCGGGCAGCCTCAGAAGGGGTGGTAACAAGGCCGCTTTCGACATCACCTACCGGAGATCAGTGCGGGGCACAAGTGGACACGCGTGGTGCTTGCAGGAACGCGTCTCCGACTCTTGTGCGTCCTATTGTACCCAAAGCGTTACCGAAACGGCAACGATCGAGGCGTATCAACTTCTGGCTGCCGAAGCTCCCGTGGACTGCCAAGCTGGAGAGTGACCTGCAGCAGCGCAGGCATCTGCCTCATCCACCACCACTGCTGCCATGACACCGCCAGGGTCGCGGCCGACCACGACATGACTCTCAGTCTGTGACGCCATTAGGCGGAACTTGAGGGACCACTTTTTAGGAAGCGGTAGACGACCCACCGGTCGGAGCTGACTGAAGAGGAGCCGAACGCCGGCGCAGCACTCGCTTCCAATCTGTGCCCCGTGCTGGCTTCCAGTATAGTGACGTAGAAGGTCCAGCACTGTCCTTGCTGAGCCAAAGCGTGACTTCTGTCGTCGAAGAGCTTACGGTCACGTCAGTGCAAGGACATTGAGAAGAGCGCCTTTTACGGTGCACACCAAGTTACAAGTGAACTTCCCCGCATGGAACGCGTTCGGCCAATCACGATGCTGCATGAACCTTTCTTTTTCTCTAGCCAATCACAAGTCAGCAAATATGGCTAAAGTAGAGGACGCTATCTGCGCAACAGGGAGCAATAGAAACGCCATGTGCTCATTTGTCCCTGCGCGAGGTGCTTCTTAGCAGCTTCTATATATATATCTACCAATGACTGTCCGGAGCTTTTTTTTTTTTTTCGGGGGGGGGGGGGGGGGGGGGGGCTTTTATACCCCTTTTTAGCGCGCTTATCACTCAGACGAGAAATGCCGAGTCGCTGGGCTGTGGACGTACGCGCGGCATTTGATATTCCGCAGGAGAGGCTACTGCGTATCCTCAGCGTTGTTCCACAGCGGCATCGTGCGGATAGAAGATTGTCTTTTGGGCCTCGTCAGTCACTGGCTGCGCTTTGCAGATCGCATCCCGATTGGCCCAAAACGTGTTAGTGTACCTATCAGTGGTTTACTGATCACAGCGGCTGTAATCTATGCTCTAACGACACGGCGAGTGGTGGGCGCCCCGGACAGTCATCGGTAGATAGCTGTGCACATATACTTAGCATGTATCTGCGATACTCACCCGAGTTCCCTGTTGAATAGTTGACAGGGGTTGTAACCGTGTAAACGCTTTTTGTGATTGGCTGGTTCAGCGTGACGCGGGAAAGCGGATATCCGGGAACACGGAGGCAAGCGAATACTGATACCGTGAATTTGGCCCTGTCTATTGCGAGATTGAAAATGCTTCGTGTATTGATTACCTCCCAGATGTCTCTCGCAAAGATAATTGTTGAAGAATCTTTGAAGTGCAGATGCTACTATACTTCGTTTCAGCTTCGGTCCGAGCGCGGCCTATGTTATGAGCCGAGGGGCCAATCAAACAGCGAAAGAGGCACAACGTCATGGCGTGCTCTCTGCAGTTGATAGGACCAGCCGGTATTCGCCGTCTCTGTGCGCGCTCCTCTGCCGGCTAGTCCTATCCAGCGCAGAGAGCACGCCATGACGCTGCGCTTTTTTCGCTCTTTGATTGGCCCTTCGGCTCACAACATCGGCCGCGCTCGGACCGAAGCTGAAACGAAGTACAGATGGGGAGCGCCCTTTTTCAGTTTTACTTGTCACCCTCGCTTTGAATCACATAGGAGACGGTTCTCGAAGACGTTTGAGGCTGGTCATATGATTCTTCCGGCAGGTGGCGTAGAGGCGTGCAACGACGAAGGTTTTCAGCTATTTATACATGAGGAGTGTAGACACAAAGTGTAGACAGCGCACTAGGAAATTAAGAGGAAAGTTTTTGGGCTATAGCGAAGATACGGAAGAGCAAGTCTCAGTTAAGAAGAAAGTTAAGACCACAGAAAGAGATCGGTGGCTAGAGGGAATGCAGACAAAGACTGCTCTGGAAAGCTACAGATTAAACAAAACAGTTATTGCCAAAGAAAGCATTTATGACAATTCTAGGGGAAGCTCATTGTTGTTTGAGGCGAGGACGGGTGTTCTGCGAACCAGAACATACAAAGTGAAGTACCAGGAAATGGATACAGTGTGCACTGCTTGTGGAGAGGAGGACGAGACGGCTGAGCACTTGGTACTCTACTGTAAAGGGCTTCACCCTATGCCTACCGAAGACAACATAGATTTAATAAAGTCATTGGGTTTTAGAGACAGCGAAGGGAGAGTGGATTTCAAGACTGTAGAGATTACCAAGCAAAGATTAAGTGAATGGTGGCAGAAATCGAGAAAAAACCAGGTATTTTCTTATTCACTGATGGCAAGGGGGTTTCATAGCCTCACTTTCTTTGTACTGTGGAGTGAATATAGATTTCACATTTAAATATTCTAAGCTTAAATGGTAAAACAAAATGGCTATGTGGCGTAAGCTACCACCCGATCCAAAGGGCTCAGCCGTATTCATCCATCCATCCATCCATCCATGAAGGCTTGCCGGGTGCTTTGTTTCGAGTCCTTAACGCGGCGCGCCACAGCAATACCAAAAGGTTTGGGGCGTTGTCACACAGTGAATTGTGTCGCGAGCTCGTTCAGACAGCGCAGAAAGGTCATCGGCTCCAATGGGGGTCTCGTGCCTCCGCTGTAGATGAGAAATTTTGTCAGTACGACCGTTAGCCTGGGGTCCATTAAGCAGAAGAGATACACGATCGCACGCGAGTACGATGCTTGTCTTGAGATAGCTGAACAATCTTTCATCGAACTCCAATGGTAAATAACACAAAAGAAATCCAAGGGCCAGTCATAATGTGGGTAGGAACTGGTAATTGTTCAGGAGCGTCTGCATTTGCCTTGTTGGTTTACTACACTTTTGCTATGCGGATCGATTAAAGTCATTTGTCTATTTCATTAAAATAGAGATAGCCCTTCCAGGTGTTCTCAAAAGAAATTAAAAAAAAAAGAAAACAAGGATGCAACATCCAATCACAACACAATCATAATTCGAATGCTTTTTCGGTTTTACACGAACGTCCAGAGAATCATCCCACTGAAACTATCTAAAGAAACTTAGCATGTCTTTGAATACGAATAAAATCACACGTTTTCAAACTTGTCTGCCTTATCAAATTCAACAAAAACACAGTCATGGGCATGGTAGTTCAGAACCGCCTTAGACATGCACCTTGAACGTGGCGGTCCAAGACTGTACAGCGTAGTTATAGTCTTTATTTCTCTCGGGAGCTAGCAGAACCCTGAGCCGAGGCTTTGTTTCAGGAAGCCTACGCGTACGACTCCCTGGAAGAGTACGAAAGCTACTTCTCCAAAGTGGTCGTTTCCAACAGCGAGGAAGCGCGCGGATCTTCGAGCGAGGTACGCCTGTGCACAAGGGCCCTGGTTTCAGGTTCCCAGCCCCTCCGTGTGACGAGACCAAGATATCATTCGAAATTTTCTCGTTTTTGCTAGGGGGTTTTAGACTTACCCAAGCTGGGAAGGTTCTTTATAAACGGGGGTAAGGGGTCGATCAAAGGACATTCCAGTCTGTATAGTTGGAGCTTGGTGAACGGAGCTTTTGGGCCACGTTCATTCGCGACTCACCGCATCAGTTCTCGAATCATGTGTGCATGTTTAGCTATAGCCAATCACATAGCACTAGTTGCGTGCCTTTTGCCACGAGGGTTTTCCAGAAGATCTAAGATGTGCACTGCGCAGAACACATTGGGGACGATTACGCCATGGACCACCAGATGTCGTTAAACCAATTTGAAGGAGTTTCCGTTGTGTGGGAACCAGCGTGACGTCGGCATTAGATGGGACATGACCGCGTAGAACGGGCGTTCGTAGATCCCCATTATACTACGTCGGTAGTAATCAGAGTTGCACACGGAGAAAGGTACGACAAGCAGAGGCCCAATTGCCGTTTATTCAAAGTGAAAAGAACCGGGTGGTATGAACCCCGCTTATTATCTCTTACGTAACACCCCGAGACAAAGCGCCCTTTCAAAGAAAGGTGTTAACAACGTATTCTGAGTTAGAAATCAAGGAGAGAGCAGTGTGACGTCTGCAAAAAATGCCCCCCCCTCCCCCCTTTTTTCTGGTAAACCTGAAGAGGTCGCTTCCCCGCCGAGTTATGCGTCGTCATCCGTGCACGTTCTTCTTGCCTCAGAATGCGTTCTTCGGCCTTTCTATCATCGGACAAACCTGATTGACTAGATAATAAGGACCCAGCGTTTGGGAGAGGCTGTGCCAAGCTTTGTTTGGCTCTATTTAGAGTTGAGCCAACTCCACCTAGAAGACAAGGCCTGCGCATGACGTCATCGTTAGTGGATGTCCGACACGCCCCTAGCGGCAAACACGCTCTACAACAGTCGCCGCAAAGTGATGACGTTTGGGAGGGGGGGGGGGGGGGGGGGGGAGGCAGGCCTAGTCTTCTACAGTCCGTGACAGGTTAAGAATCCAGGGGAAGCTCCTCCCACCCCTTTCCACTTTAGCAGAGCGAACGCTGGTCGCCTCCTCTCCCGAGTTTGCTCTGCTAAAGTGGAAAGAGGAGGGAATAGCTTCCCTGAATTGGTTGAGTGATCGACGATGTCACGCGCGAAACTTTTTGCGAGTGATTTGGTGTCGTGAGCGAGTCGGTCAAGTGGGAGGTTAGCATGTGTTGTTTTGAATGTCCGCAGGATGAAAAGAAGGACAAGTCCGACGAGGGCTCCCTGGTGCCGAGCGAGGAGCTCAGGAAAGTCCTCGATCCCGGCGTGTTCACGGCATCGGTCTACCCGTCGTACATCCGAGAACTGCGCACCATCATGGAGGACACGTGGAGAATGCTCAAGACGGGTACGCGCCAATTATGGGACAGTGCTGCATCCGTGCTTAGGTCTATCACGATCCATCCGCTGTTTACAAGCTGAAAGGCCACTGACCACCCCGAAATATTTTTTTTTTTTATTGTTTTAAACGTTTCAAGATGTTTAAATTAACATAACTAGGACGTAGGTTTTCCGATTTGTCGGCAGATGTTTTTTGATACTGATTTTTAAAATAACGTATATTTTCGCAATCTCTCTCGGACGGACGCTAAGAACGGTGATTATCGGTGAAAAACATATCACGGAAAACTAAGAGGTCGTGTTTAAAACGAAAGGGCTTTGACAAAAGCAGTTCCAGCCTGAGCAAAAATGTCCTGAAATCGGCGTTAACCGTTTTTTTTTTAACACCAACGAATATGCTTATCGGTGTTTTTCGCTTAAAACCGGAAAGACAACAACCTGCACATATGAGAAGAAAAAAAAAGTAAATAAATAAATATATATATATATATATATATATATATATATATATATATATATATATATATATATATATATATATATATATCCGGGAAGTGGCAGCTTCAAGCAGACCGCCTAGGGTGACCACCTAATCCTGCTAGCGAAATGCGGGACACGCTGACCAGGGGGGGGGGGGGGGGGGGGGGCTGTAGTAGGAGAAGGAAAAATATATTAAAGGACATTTGTTACCACGCACACGACTTTCTTCTTTCAAACGTCTTTATTTACAGACCAAATGAATGAGCGCCCTATGCGCTCTGCTGTATGGTCTTTTATCTCGTCGTCTTATGTGTCCCTGGTGTTACCAGGGGCAGAGAGCACACCACGAGATGTGGTTGAAAGTATATTATAAACCTGCACACTGTGTTCCGGCAATTGAACTCGAATAGTTTTCACTCCCCGTGAAATATATATATTTTTTATTTGAATGTCAAATAAGTTATTAACCCTCTCTAAGTTAAAAAAAAACAAAAAAAAAAAACATCAAAATTGACGGCAGCAGAATTCAGAGTATCAAAAGAACATTTGGATTCTTGTTCCCTGTCGATGCTTACTTTCATCTACTAGCTCTTACACAAATTTAGAACTCTATATGTTTTTGTTTTTTCGAAAATTGTGAGTTGCAGGCTTTTTGCCTTGAGCGGCCGTCTTGCCTAAAACATATTTCGCAGCAACAATTTCGCATTGACACAGTTTGGTTTGAAAATAATTACAATACGTTTGTACAGCGGCCTTTAAAGGCCGCTGTACAAACGGGACGTTCTGCAGGGAAGAACCTTCTCTCCCGAAGCTGGAGACGGGGAGGGAAAGGGCCAGCGTTGGGTGGAAAGGGTGTCTAGAGAATGGGATTAGCCTCGGGGCGAGGCCATCCTCTCGAGAGGGAGTGGGGACGGAACATAGCTGCCGTTGGGGTTCCGGCTACCAGGTGGAAGATAAGCTTGTCAAACGGCGACCTCGGATGCAAAGACGGGCACGTCAGAGAATTTGAAAATAGCTGCTTGATTAGCCGGACGACCCAGAGCGGTCTACTGGCTCTAGAAGGTGACTCGGATGAAGAAAACTCGTTTTGCTCCAAAACTCTAAAAGCATTCTGGAACGTGAACTCTTGCCACAAATAAAAATAACACATACATGAAAAACTACGAAGGCACCTAAGCTTTCTCCTATGATGTGAAAATGCGCGAGCATTACAGGCAGAGTTATGTTGGCGCAACTTGCAATAAAGAAAGAAAAAAAAAAGTTATGTCGGCGCAACTAGGCGCAACGAATAGCGCGCTAGTTTCACGATCAAGAGGGCCTAGCTTCGAAACCGGGCAGGGGATGATTTTTTCTCGTGTTCTTTTTTTATGTCGTTTATTTTTTTTTTTCGGTCACGTGACAATAAAAATCACATGAACAGAATTTTTTTTTGGCCACGTCGCCAGAGATTTTTTTTATTATTATTACTTCTCCTTTTCTTCTGTCTTTTTTTTTTTTCCTTTTTTTCGGATTACGCTCCCTTTTGCAAAACTCTTTGCACCTATTTCGCGTTACATTAGCGTTAGCCAAATCATTTTATTTATCGCAGGGAATTCTGCCGCACGTATCTTATGTTACTATTACCATCCCTGGCTTACAATACGCATAGAGAATTTCGTCCGGCAACCAGTTTGGGAATGACGAGGCCAAATTTGTGTTATAATTTTTTTGAGGTACAAGCATAATTTCGGCCTCGTTATCCGTCGGTCTCTATGATTGGCTCTTCAAGTATCTTTTGGGAAGGCAGACGACTGGCATTTTTAGTGCGCACGTGTGTCGACCAGAGTGAACATTGCTGAAGCGACTCCAGTGTGATTTTGGTCGTAAATAACTGGAGGCCCCGGGCAAACCCGCCCAACATAGAAAAGTATCTACCTTTCTCGTTTCATAGAGACCTATGAAAGGGACGAATCCCAGCCGAGTCAAACTAGAGGCTTGCAAACGCAATCGTGTTGACAATAGCTCCAAGGAGTTTGTATGACTCTCTCTGGCAGTGTGCAGAGGGTAAAGGCACGGAGGTAATATATGCTTTCGCCTAGTCACCTCGCAAACGGTTGGGTATTGGCTGCAGAGATCCATTTCGCTTTGTTTTATTACCGGGATTATAGCTTGATTTCTGTGTTCCCAATTTCAGAGACAGAACGAAATCGCTTTTCTCGTGTGGCGTCACGGCGGTGAGACAGAAATGAATCAGTGTACCGGAATTCGACGCTTGTGCTCGTTCTATAGCGCTTCTAAAAACCGTGAGATCACGGCTGTGCAACGTCAACAATGCATAAACTGCAGTTACTTGTACTTGTATTGCATCGTGAGGGAACGACTATGGCTGGGTAAACAGGAATAGGGAGAATGGGTGCGTGTGATTTGTTGAAGTTCGAATCAACAAATCAAGCTTCAACGAATGCGATAGTATTGCATTCACTGGACCAGCTATATGAGTTTTCAGACGGTATATACCTTCCAAGTATGCGATTCGTGTTCTGCCAGTGGTGCCTCAGCTAAATTAAAAAAGCAAAATCCACGTTGAAAAAAAAAAATATTTACGGTGACTGGAGCCGATCCCGCGCCGAATCATGTTTCACGTAAGCGTAATCTTGGGGTCGATGCACGACGAGTTGTCTTCAATCATAAAAATAGTTTGATTACGATTATTGGCAGCGCTAAGAATTTGAAAGCCAAGCAGTGAAGACAACGGTGTTCTTAGAAATATTATATACATTTTATTTTTAACTGTTTGACTACGCTGCCGTCGTTATCTTCTTGAATTATTGGCTAGCTTGTGGCGGACAGGGAAGTCTTGCAGGACCATATGATAGGACCTACACTAACCCTGCCGCACTTCAAAAAATGTTAGTCCAATGCATACAAGCCTGTTCAAGGCGGACGGAGCGTTGCGCATCCGGCAAAGCGCATACGGTCGCTGCCCGCGGCGTTTTTTTTTTTTTTTTTTTTTTTTTTTTTAGCAGCGAAATAATTTTTAGTCAAGCAGCAGGCTCCCTCTTCGGCGGGTTAAGCCGGATTAACGGAGGCGTCTCCTAATCCATTCTCCATGTTGTCCCCTCGGGGGAGGGCGGTAAACAGGTGGGGGAGGGCGGTGAAGGAAGGAAAGGAGGGCAGGAGAGGAGGAAACGCAGAAAAAGTGGAAAGCGCGAACTGTACGGCGGCCTTTAAGAAGGTAGCGGCAAATGCCCCTCAAAGGGAATCAGATATCCCTCCGCCACCTCCGCATCCAATAGCGTCCCACCGTTTCCGTGACGTCGCGGCCAACGCGCAAGGAGGGTCTTGCCTTTCTGTACATATTTGCTTTATCTTTCGACTTTGACTTAGCATTGTGGAAGCCACGAGAGGGAGATTAGAGTTCTCCCCCACCGACGGAAACAAATACGACTTTCGGGGATTAGCTTCCCCCCCGATGGATACAAAGGCTGCTTTCAGGGGCTCGGTTTCCTCTCCGATGAATACAAAGGTCGCTTTCTTAAAAAGTGGGGTCGGAGACAAGTGGGAATCCATTGAAGCGGAACAAGGAGCGTTTCCAGTGAACTTTTCTTTCGACTGCGGAGAGATTTGAAACGGGCGCATCACACTTGTGGGAGAAGCTTCTCCTACCTTCTTGACTTGTAACCGACTATAGGATAGAAAATGGCGTGCCATCATATTCACACGGCTATTAGCGACCTCCACGCTTCCCGGTGCTCTGTTGTTCGGCAGCGCCGCGAGTTAAACTGTGATTTTACGACAGTGTGAAATGCGGGACATTGTGTGAACCTTTTGCTACATCTTGCGGTACGCGGGGCACAAGCCCTCAATGCGGGACACTCCTGCAAGTCGCGGGACGAGTGGGTAACTCCGTCCCCTCCCCCGTCTCGCTCTATGTCTTCTGCTTCTCAAAATGGCGACTTTCGACGGCTGACTGTACTGCGAGTGACAGGGAATCAGCGGTGGATGTTGCTTTCCGTGCCAGGTGACCTTCGCACTTCGAGGAAGATAGTATCGAGCTCGGCCAAGTTGGCTCTGGTGCCGCACGATATGCTTGAACGAAACTGGAATGATCATTCCCGACGAAGAAGAAGATGGAGACGTGGACCGAATGAGAAGTGCGCACTTCATCGTGTTACGACACTTCTATTTTGGGGCAGCAAGAAACAACGAGGAAGCATGACAATGATAATTCCTGGAGAAGCTGAACAAAGGGGACGAAGGACGAAGATTGTCATTTTTGCCCAGCTCACTTGCACCTTTGCATTAATTGCATAATAGAGGCATCAGTGCGTAAACTACGCCATCGACTCGCGTGGGAACTTCAAATTCGGCTTTTTCAGATCATTTTTCTTTTCGTTTCGTCGAAGGATTAATTGCAGTCGTATAAAAATAAGTATTTAGGATTTTCGATAGTTATTCAATGGAAAATGGAAAATCCCCTTTACCATGCTTCGGGCAGAAGACTAAACTCTTATTAATGCATTATTTTCGTTTTAAAGCGCAGCTTTTAGGCGCCCGTTTCCGGCTTGAGCGGCGTCGCCGTCGGCGTAACCGCGCGTTGCATAATGGGACGCTTCCCATATTGATGCACACGTGACGTCACGAGTGACGTCACGAATGACGTGACGAGGAAGAGGGACGTAGGGTGAGGAGGCGGCGAGGAGGAGGAGGGGCATACCTTCCTCCGTGACCTCCCCTCCTCCTCCTCAAGAGTTGCGCTCTAATTCGGCATTACAGAAAATTGTAAACGTTTCATTTTTTTTAACAATATGTTGTAATATTTTGAGAAACAGCCAACCTAAGATTGAAGGCAAATCGGGTGAAAATTAGCAGTAAGCTAACTTTCGGGGTGCTATAAAAAAAGTTGAAGAAATGCTGTTTTTAGATTTTGTGACCGGCAGGGAGGGTCGATCAACCAAAGACTGTCCTTCCCAGTCAGCAATGTTCGCTTATCTCCCACCGTGGCTAAGTAACATCATTTCTGCGAGGTCACCATTGGCCAGGGACCAGCAATTACTAGAAGTGGGCTATCTTTGGAAAGTTCTGAAAAAAAAGAATGAATCATGCCGAAAATAGGGGGCGGGCTATCTTTCAGGGCTGGGGCATCTCTCTGGATATTACGGTAAGCATTTTTAGGTGGCGGGAGACGATTCAGAATGAATGAGAATTGCTTTAAGTGTACGAGGAGGGCTAATCCACCTGCATCGTCAGTCTGGCGCTACAACATAGCTAGCTCTATTTTCTTCCGGACGGAATGCGGTCGACTAAAGAGGAACCGAGAAAGCAACGCACTCACACTCATCAGTATAATAGAGGAAATCTTTAGTCACAAATGCTGTCAAAATTGATAGCGCAGTTGGGCTAACCATGGCCGAAAGGTCTGGTTAGCACCACTCCTCACATGGCGGTATGCGGTCACCACGCATGCGCCGTCGTGCGTCTCCCGGACCCCTCGAAAACGAGCGCACGCTTGATTGTCGGAGCTATGCAACTGTGCTCGCGTCGTAAAAATAAAGCAGTTACAAAAATCTAGTGGGACGCAGTGCCAAAGGTTCAAGAAGCTTCCTGGTCGTCATACTTCAGTGAAAGATCTGCATTTCGCGAGTGCAAAGCGAAACATACTTCCCCGGAAGCGCAAAACTAAAATCATGAGCCATTCCACCCTGTGAAGGTGGACGACCAGTGAGCTGTTTAGCACACGACACAGACGTGACACAGAATTTTGAACAAAGGTACGAACATTCGCGCGGACGACTATCGCCGCCCCGAGGAGCCGACGGAAACTAGACACGCGCGACGGGACCGCCACTCGGGAGTGCGGAAGGAAAGGAAACTAGGCATGCCGCACGCAAGCGCTTGGAACGAAGAGAGGGCGGTGCGAGCGCAGACATGGTAGGGAGCCTACATACTCGGAGTCGGCGAGTATGTAGGCTCCCTAAGACATGGCCGACCTGGGTCGCAGCGGCAAAATCTTTGAAAAACCATTATCTACTCGAGTCTACTGATCTTGAAAATGGTGCCTATTCATAACAAATCTACTGAAAATGCATATCCAAGTGATGAGACGTATAAGCTTTTGCATAGAATGAGGCGATTTGCATCAAAGTCGGGACCTGAGTTTTTGTTGACGCACACGAAAACCCTCAGATTTGCTGTAAAATTGGGCGCATGTGACCCCTTCTCCACTAATGAGGAGTTGACGGCGAAAGGAAAAGGCGATACTATGGTGAAAGTGTGACGGGCGCGATATGCGCGCAATGATAAGGGGAGTGGTGAAAATTTTTTTAGAGAGCCTCGATTGTAGAGTGCGCATGTTCTGCGTTTTCGCGTGGCAAGAAGAAAAGCAGGCGGAGACGCTCGCGTTGGTCATTTCCCCCATACACCACGTGACCCCGATCGGGCAGTTGACGGCTTTTCTGCACGTTGTCAGGGCGCAGTCACGCGACAACAGTAATCACGTGACCACCTACGTTCCCCCTCCCCTTTTTGTGTTTGTCCTCCTCTCCGGCATTTCTCTCCCTGCTTGTGGTTTCTTTTTTGTGGCCTAGCTTTTTGTTTGTTTTTGTTTCTTTTTTTGTGTGTGCGCGTTTTCGAGCGAGGTGAAAAATCTCGACTAAAAAGAAAAAAAAAAAAACATTTCCGAATTAAGTTAATAATAAACCCCGGAAATGTCTAGACCACGGGTCGGCAAAGAGAAAAGGAGGTTTCCCTCTCTTCTCTAGTGTTCCGCCTGATTCCTCCTCCCCGGCCCGTCGTACCTTCACCCTACTTCCTTGAGTTGCAACGGACTATAGCAGTTGAACTTTCAATATTGCAGAAACCAGAGTCAAAAGATAAAGAAGCTATGTGACCTTTCAACACATGCACTGCAGGCAGCGCATCTGTTGCGATGGTGATTAAAATAGCTGCCACCAAGAGGATTGCTGTTGCCTGCAGGAAAGCCGCTTTCATAGCAACTCTGTGCAGTCTTTTGCTCCTGCCCGTCACACTTCCCCTTCCAGCCACCACAGCGACACTTTTGCTCTGCCACTTCGTTACTCTAATTTGGACAGCTGCCTTTCGTTCAACTCCTCAAAGAGAAGTGGCAAGATGTGTTCCCAAATTTTAATTAGATAATTCGTCTAAAAAAGAAACAAAAAAAAAAAGGAAAGAAAACATGGAGTAACACAACAGACATTGCACCCCCGATATGTTGGGCTAAATCAAAGAAGGTTCTTTCAAGGCATCAGAACCTTGTCAAACATGGCGGAGTGAAAAGTGCTAATTAACCGATCGGCCGATGCCTCAGGGACGGTTGGAGGAGCCCTGGGCCTGGACCTTGGCTGCGGACCTATGGTCCAGTTTCCGCTGCTGCTGACCAGCAACGTGGAGTGCATGGTACTTGCCCACTACTTTGACCAGACAAAGACCATCATCCAGGGATGGCTGAAGGACGACCAGGACAATGTGTTGAACCTCAACGATATGCTTGCATCGGCCGCCACGCTCGCTGACAAGCCGTGAGTGAAGCTACAAGCACATTCCATCCGGTTTGATAAAGTCCACGACAGTTTTTTTAAATTTGTAGATTGGGAATTGTGGTCAAATGGCAAAAACCATTATTAACTATGTTGCCGCATACTCTGGTAACGGCTGTTCTAGCTATACTATGCAATTTGTTTTCCCTTGCAGTGGGAATGCCTTGAAGGAACAGCTCAAGAGCTGCGTGGCAGATGTGGTGTCCTGCGACCTGTTGAACCGCGAAAAGGGCCACTTCCTTCCCGAGAAGTATGACCAGAATGACACGTTCGATGTGGTCGTCACCTCGCTGCTGCTCGAGGCGGTCATCCCTGATCTGGACACCTACACCAAGGTCATCAAGAGGTATGCCTGCAACTGGACAACACCTCTGCCATGGCCCACTGGTTTGCTGGCTCAGTCAGGGTCAAGGGATAGTAGAGTTTGCTCGCATCCATATAACCTTCACAGTGCTGCTTTCTGATACTCGAGTTTATCGGGTGCTCAACACCGAAATAAGGGTAATTGTGCAGGCTAGCTGGAAAATGATTCTGGTGGATGACACCATTTAGAAAGTGAAAGAGAGATAGTTCTTGCCATCTGTAGCCGAGCTGCTCCCTATTCTTATTATGCCCTTTTGTTTTGCCATTACAACGCGGCTATACTACGTTTCACCCCAAGTGCGAGCGAAGCCAATGTAGCAAGCACGAGCATGTTGCCTCGAACCACGCTTTCACTTCACAAGCGCGCATGCATACCAGGCCTCCTAAAAAAGTCGTGCTTAGAGATGCGAAAACACTCTAGTTGTAATTGCTCTTATGGCTTCTCCTTCGCTATCGTAGGCTTTATAGCCTACGATGTACTTCAGCCTGGAGGTCTTTTCGGGAGGCGTCTCCTCCGGCCGAGGCCCTCCACTTTTCCCACTTTACCCGAGCGAACGCCGAGAGGGAGTGAAAAGAGATCCAGCATCCGCTCTGTAAAGTGGAAAGGGCTTTGCAGGAGTAGCTTATCCTCCCGTTTTTCTTAAACACTCTGTTTACAAACAAGCCTGCATTTGCTCGCACCCGGTGTGGGCACTGCGCACGTGCGGAAATCAGAATCGCGCGAGGCAAAGCATCTGCGCATGCGCCACGCCGACGGCAGCGCCAACGCAGCGGCACGACGTCGGACGGAGCCACACACTTGCGTATGGCAGCGGCAAGGTATGGACACGCGATTCTCGCAGGATCCAGGGGCTGCTGAAACGGCGGGGCCACCTGCTCATGAACGGGGTGCTGGGCATGACCCACTGGGACACGAAGGCCGGCCGGTTCAACTGCGTCACCCTCACCAAGGAGAGCCTGGAGAAGGTGTTCCGCGACTGCGGCTTCCTCGACCTCGAGTGGACCATCGTGGACCGCGAGTACTTCCACTCGGTCAGCGACTACGCAAAGTCCTTCCTGCTCCTCGCCAGGAAGCCGTGAGGCCCTAATCCGTCCACTTTGCGCCGGAACTGAGACCCAAATGCCCTCATTTCGGTGTTATCGGCTGAAGCATCAAATAAAGAAAAAAAGGATATTCCCATTCGCGACTCCAGCAAAACAAACCGCACCTATACTTTGTGTCACTATAGTTGTGTGCAGTACAGGCAAAGGCAACGCCAGGCAAAGAGAGAAAGGGCGAGCACTAGGAAGGCGGGACGGGAGAGGAGGGCAATGGAGGGCGAGGGGAGAAAGGGAGAGCACTAGGAAGGTCAGAGAGGAGAGGAGGTTCCTCTCCTCCTCCCCCAGCATTTCTGGTGCTTACTCTTTCTCCCCTCGCCTGGCGTAGCCTTCGCCTGTACTGCAGGCAACTAGTGACACGGAGTATAGCGGGGAAAACACCGAAGGGGTCGAAACGGGTCCTTCCACGATTTCTGCCAGTCTCTTGCGGCTTCAGCGATTGCTCGTTGTCGGCAGCCAGTGCGATGAAACAGTTATTGCCCGCCAACTCTGTCGTTATCTTCGTATCGGCGTGTTGCTAGGGCGCTCTAAAGGCGACCTACCCAACCGTGGGAATCAAACACTGCACGCACAACAATGTTTATCTGCGTGGTAGGGGAGTAGGCAGTACCCTTCCGTCGCTTTCTCGAAGGCTGAGCCTTTAAAAGTCCGCCTGCACAAACACCGCCGCAGATTTGGAACGTAGTAGATAAATAGCGGGGCAAACAATTTTGAAGCAAATGCTTGCCCAGCTTAAAACCATGCGTTGAGCCGGCAGGCGGCACGGCCCGAAACGTTTTTGGGCGCCATATTTTGCCGAGCGAGTGTTCCAGAATGCGTCTTTAGCACGTCGGAAAGCAAGCAGGGTATGCCAATGAAAGGGCAATATAAAAAAACACCCAGGGAGCGAGCGACGACGAGGCAGCCAAGCGCACGCCGTCGTCGGTGGAGCTTGGGGGAAAACGAAAGCCTGAGTGCCCTTTTGGGGGTAAACAAACGCACAATGTGCGCAAGGAGAAACAAACTTGCACGGCCTATGGTCCTTTTCTGAACCCAACTAACGCTACGACCCGACGGAGTCAATCGGGCAGTGCCAAAAGTGCATCGTCATGACACTTGTCACCTTTGTACGTTTGCTATAAGCGTCTAAACCAATCGTCCGCAGTGGACGCGCCGCAATCCTGCATTTTTCTGCACGTGATTAGTGCTGCCGGTGATATCAAATGCACCAAGAAGGCGAGCGCCGTGACTTTTGACGCTGCTTAATTTGCTCTGTCGGATCGTAGCTGCGGTTGGAGTGAAACGGTGTGGTGTTACGTCGGGAAAGGCAGCCCTTGTTTTGCGATTGGACACGGATCTGTCCCCCGAGAAAGCAAATTCAGCTTCTGGCGACTCGCAGGAGATCGGCCCACGAGCGTCCCGTGGCTCCGAGCACCCGTTGCCACGTCTGGAGCGCTACGGGCGACGTGCCACAATAGTCTCGTGGCGCCAATCCCTGAATTTTCGTTCGAAACATAGCTCTTGTCTAGATACAAGGAGGGGGCTTGCCTAGCAACGAGGAGTGAGTGAACCTAGTTTTACCGCCGAGGAGCGACGTGCTTAGAAATGAGCATGTTTGCCTAGCAATGATGAGCGAGTTTCTCTAGCAGCAAGGAGGCAAAAATTTGCCAAGCGACAAGGAAGAACTAGTTTTTGATGCAACTGGCAGCAGCAGGCAAGGCACCAGGAGTGCTTTTTGAAACTCTTGGCACCTTGTCTGCTTGCTGTAAGGCACCTGCGCAGACACTGCAAACGCAACAATACTGCACGGATTCTAGAGCTTTTTTAGCACATGGCAGAGCTCTTTCAAGTAACACTCTCTGGTATGAGTAGAAGTATGGCATCATCATCGTAACCATAACACTTCTCAGCATTCAAAGTTGGGGGAAAAAGCTCAGTTCAAAGCATACATACACTGTAATCTTGCACACACTAAGACGAGTAGAAAAGTTTTGTTTTTCATCGCTGCTGTCTTTACTAAAATAGTCCAAGTGTGCAAACAGGTAGAGAAAACTACCACTAGCCAAGGCAGTGGGCAGCTATGTCTGGTTCAGTTACCCCTGATGTAGAAAGAGATGTCATGCCAGGTCTTCATCACCACCTCTCTCCTCTTCCATACCTCTTGCCCATAAAGAATGTAGACTCTGCAACAACATAAAAAAAATATGTTTTCAATGCAGCTACTAATGTGCCCTCATTCTTCAACACACTGCACAATCAATGTCTACATCTGAAGATTCGTACAAACATCTTAATGCACAGAACAAGAGCTGTGTTACTCTACATGCAACAATTTTCATGAAATAAAATAAAAAAAGGAAATGAAAACGTGAAACATACAGGAATGAAGACAGGTAAGTACAGGCATTTAGAGTTTCCCCAGAACATATTTGAAACCAAAGCTCTGTGAGAAAGGTTTAGAAAGAGTGTTCGATGAACCGGTTGCAAACTGGCACTCACATGCCAAAGATGGAGCCACCCAAATGTGCCGCGTGATCCAGGAGCTGCCACTTGAGGAGGATGCCTGCCACGTCCATGGTCACAATCGCTTTCAAAGCCTGGCAGAGACGCGACCAAGTGCTTTCAATGTGTCAAACTTGTTCAACGCAGGCATCAGGTTCGCAACTACTGTTGCATGGAAACGAGATCTGTTCGCATGTAAAGCTCGTGTGGTACAACCAGATTGCAAGTTTCTTATTCCCTTTCCTGCTTCTTTCATGTAGAAGTAACAAAAAAAAAAAAAAATCATTGCATACAAGTTTTAAAAAAGTTTTATGCATACATAAAAGAACAATGTTTCACTAAACATTTGCCAAAATTCTTCTGTAAAAACTATGCACCACAAGGAAAAAAAAAGAGCGGTGCCATGGCTGGTCACAGTTGAAGCACTAAGTCACAGCTGAAGTGCCTAGGAACCCGGTTTGAGGTGCCACATCATTGTCCGAATCCTTTTGAGCGCACGGCGAAAGGATGACGCATAAGGAAATGTACGCAGACGTACCTACTAGGCCTGGGCTACCCGATGGATGGCACTGATGCGCTATCTCCTCGTAAGCAGTCACAAGCTTGGAGTTAATATAATAAGGGGGCAAAAGGTCCCATGCATTCTGGCCACTCTAGAATTGTAGGATACAGACGCGGGTCCCAGTGGGTGGTCCCGATGGGCCCATAATGCTGGCGACGCCTTGATATACACAAGGGAGCAGCAAAACGTCGCCTGTACGGTCCGTGCCTAGTTTTTTTTCTAGTTTACTTTGCCGGAAAACACTGGCGTTGTGTACTGTTTAAAACAAATGAAGTTGACACGCACTCAAACAGCTTCAAATCCCTGCTGCAAAACAACTCCGTCTAACCTATCATTTGCTTTCTTTCTCTGCCCTTCTGTCTCCCTCTTTTTCTTTCTTCCTCTCGGGACCGCCAATGTCAGCGCTCAGGATTTGCCGTGTGTTGCTTCCGCCATCTTTACCCCCTAATTCCAAGCAGTTGTCACGTAGTCGGTCGCAGTCAAACGTAAACGTGCAAACGAGCCTCTCGGGAAGAGAGAGTGGGCCTCACCATTCCGGCGGAGAAGGTGAAGAAAGGCAGGAAGATGATGGCCAGCTGGGCATCTGGATACTGGACGCACATGGCTGCAATCACGGCCAGGATGGCTCCAGACTGGCAGCACGAGTTCAGAAACAAACGTTGGACACCGTCCGGACAAACGAAGCGAGGAATGCAGCGTTTTCGGAATGCATTAGCTCGCTTTAAACATCACCAACAATTAAATGATTCCTTACATTAGGTATCGGCATAATTATTTCTACAACAAAAAGTAAGAACTGCACTGTAAACCCGCATAAATGCTACTATAGCACGACTCAAATGCAGAATCTGACGTCGAATTTGGTCAAAACATAAATTTGAATGGATATGTGCTTCATGTTCTCCCCCTTTAGCTTTTTTCATTTGTGCCCTGCCCCCAGCCACGCCTTCCCCTCATAGTCACTCCTTTTCTTCGTTGTAACATGTGAGAAGATCATACAAAACAAACATTTTGATTTGCGGGAGATTAAGTTTGTGAGTCATTCTTTAATGGCCATGTAAGACGACCACTTCCACATAAAATGCCAGCGTGCTACACCCAGCAATCTGATCTTTTTGGTTCATTCAGTGGCATGTGCTTAGTTTAAGACTATGGTTCAAGAAGTGACAGATGTACATGAATAGTACTCGAACACTGCAGTGCCCACTCCATCTTTACGAGCACCACAAATCTTTGCTGCAAGGTTGGTGATCTGTTTCCTGACTCTTCACAAGATTTTGTACTAGGTCGCAAGAGCAAGCAAACGTTAGCGCATTCACGACACGAGACTAACCGCTCCCAAGGACATCGCTGGCCGCTTTGTTGCCACCTTGTGAAGATAACTGGCAAAGGAGGACAACACACCTGTGAAAAACAGAGACAACAATGGGCATAAATTACTATATGATTAGTAGTGGAGCAACTTTAAGTATGGTTATATCAAGGAGCTTCATGTTTCAAAGCGTCTTTTTGCACTATAGCTCAGCAGACCTTCAGCGATGCCGGACCTAATTGATGCAAAGTGTATATGAGGACTAAGTTCACTTTTCAAGATGGCTGGTGGTTCATAAGGACCTATAGACCATTCCAATGAGGGCTCTTTGGGTGGCGCTATTTTATTCGACTGCAGTGCCACCTGGATGCATCCAAGCATTTCAACAAAATCAATGTGGTAAAAAAAAACAAAAAAAAACATGTGTCTAATCCTGATAGCAGACGACAAACCGGCCATTCTCAACGGGCATTTCAACCAATCTGGCTGGGTAGAAGACGGAAAGGACACATGGCATTCTTATAGTTTTTGCATTAGGTATCGGCATAATTCTATAGTATCGACCTCCCCAACATACTAACCACGAAACCAAAGAAGTTTTGGAAAATAATCAATCCGGCACTTTCACTTCCTTTGCAATTTGTAGATGACGACGGACTTCCGCTTTCTGATAAACACGGCGCTCTTGCTATTAATAATTTTTTCTGCTCCATCTATACTAACGAGGACTTACTAAATATTCCCGACTCGTGCCAATCCACTCACCCTCTCATGGATCCTATCGTAATTGACCGTACTGGAGTACTTAAGGCTATAGATCAACTAAAGGTGTCCTCCAGCTCCGGAGATGACCAAATTAACTCTAAGGTATTAATAAACACTAAATACATTTCTTCCACTTTCCTCTGCGACATATTCTCTCAATCTCTTAAACTCTCTGAAGTACCATCAGATTGGAAAGTTGCTAACGTCATACCCGTTCATAAAACAGGCGATCGCCAACTAATCAGCAACTATCGTCCCATCTCGCTCACCAGCGTTTCATGCAAACTCTTGGAGCACATTCTCTATTCTAACATAACAAATTTCCTAGACTCTCATAACCTCCTTTTCAAGCACCAGCACGGATTTCGCAAGTCCTACTCATGCGAAACTCAGCTAACAGCATTTCTAACTGACGTTTACTCAAATTTCGATTCCAATGTTCAAACTGACGCCATCTTTATTGACTTCTCCAAAGCATTTGACAGGGTCCCTCATCAACGTCTTTTAATAAAACTAAGGAATATTAATCTTCACCCCTCAATAGTCAATTGGATTTCTGAATTCCTTACTAATCGCACCCAGTACACTTCTATTAACCATATAAAATCTACCACAAGCGCAGTAACGTCTGGCGTCCCTCAGGAAAGCGTTCTTGGCCCCCTTCTTTTTTTAATCTACATTAATTATCTCCACCATGGCATCACTTCTGAAGTACGTTTGTTCGCCGATGACTGTGTCATATATAGACCCATTCATTCACGCCACGATCAGCTAACCTTGCAAAACAATCTCCAACTTATAATTCAGTGGTGTCATAAATGGCAAATGGCTTTAAACTATAATAAATGTAAATCACTATCTTTTTCCCGCAGTTCACATGTTCTATCCTCCTCTTACCACTTTTCTGGCACCCCAGTAACTGCTTGTTCATCGTATAAATATCTAGGAATTCATCTGACATCTGAACTGTCATGGACCACTCATATAACAACTGTCATCGCCGATGCTAACCGCACTCTCGGATTTCTTCGCCGTAACCTCAGACAAGCTACATCCGCCGTAAAACAACTAGCTTATACTACCTTGGTCAGAACTAAACTAGAATTCGCTTCTTCCATATGGTCACCGTGGCAGGCATACCTAACTAACAACCTGGAATCCGTTCAGAGCAGGGCCCTCCGTTTTATTTATTCCGACTATTCCCCATACGCAAGCATATCAGGACTTCGCCAATCAGCTAACCTTGACACTCTTTCTCACCGCCGCAGGGTGTCTCGTCTTTCTCTTCTTCATCGGATTTTTTATTACAACAGTCATCTCAGACAAAGTTTGTTATCACCTCCTTACCGCATTTTCCCTCGCCTCGACCATTCTTGTAAACTCCGTCCGATTTCATCGTCAACCGTCACTCACCAAATGTCTACTTTACCATTGGCCATTGACGACTGGAACTCACTGCCTGACGTAATTGTTACCTTATCTGATACTAAGAAATTTTCTGCAGCCATTAGCTTATTTTTTCTAACCCATAACTAGATTACAGCATGTTTTCGTAGATAAATAGTTTTGTTACTTGTTTGTTTTTTAAGTGTTCACTCCCTTGTGTAATGCCCCCTGGGCCTTCAAGGAATAATAAATGATGATGATGATGATGATGATTTACGGTGGGCTATGTCCAAACACGAAGGCTCACTGCGACAAGGGATGTCTCACCAGCACTCAGGTACATAGCCACAAACTGTTCCTTGCCCCAGAGTGCCACAGCCGCTGGTGCAAAGCTGGTCAGCACCAGCATGTTGGCACACAGGTGCACCAGGGAAGAGTGGCTGAACGTCGACAGCAACATTGGAAGACACACGGATCCTGCACACCAGGCCAAAGACAGACACAAGCCCAGCCTTCAGAGACGCACTGTCGTTACATTACCGCAACGCAGCAGAAATTGCGACACAAGAGTAATCGTGCGGCTGACCTGGAAGTCACTTCAGTGGCTGCTCAAACGAACACCGAGGAAGTTGAGCAGAAACAGTTTTCCTTTCAAAATTATAAATTAGTTTGCCCTACATAGTATGCAAATTTGAATGGAACTTTGTTGGCTACATCACTATAATTGCACAGATCAGTTTCCTTACAAATTTAAGGTTAAAAAGTAAGTGAAGAATTTAAAGGAACCAAGAAGAAGAGGAGGACTGTGGACTAACTGTCTGCTCCATTCTTGACGTCTCAACGATATAAATAGCAAGAGGAAGGTAATCCTTCTTGCCCAGATGCGATTGTCTCATTGCAACATCACCAGGACCTTCATGACGCACGACCGGGCCTGAAATGGCTGCGGCGCTTTCTTTATTAATCTTTTGCAACCTCTGAAGTTTTGTGTGACCTCACTGTGCTCTGCTTCTGGTTTAACTATACTTCGTTTCAGCTTAAGAGGGCGCGGTACCTCTATTTATTCGTCCGTTTCAGCCACCAGATGGCGCGCGGCTCGAAACGTGGTTGAACGCGCAACTTCTAGATGGCGCCAGTATCGAGGTGTGAAAAGGCCCGTGTTATCCGCTGCGTGAAATAGATCCCGAAATGTGCCGTGTTCTCCCGGCAAAGGAAGTTTCTCCCTCCCTCGCGCGGGCTTGGTATGTACGCGCGGTGGCCGAGTCCGGCCTCTGCGCTGTGTGATGCAGTGGGTGGCGCTCGTTTCTGTTCGGAGGTAGGAATAAAAATGCCGGTCCCCTTTTTTACGACGCTCGTTTCTATAGCTTGTTTTTCTTCTTCTTTTTTTTTATCTCAAGTGACCTACAGTACCGCCTGTTCGAAATCGTCCTTTGCGTTGAGCGATTGAGTCAGGTTAGCATTTTATTTGGGTCAGCACTACACGTTCAATGGAGACCTCGGGCGGGGATGTAAATATGCATTGCTTCCCAAAGTGTGTCCAAGGTGCGCAATGACAATTGGAAAGGGTATTGAAGGCGCGCGACCGTCGGTTGGTAAAATACGTGCGTTAGATTCACTTATTCAGTCTAATCATCTTTGCCAACGTCTTTTATCTGTTTCGACAAATGACATGGTCGAGTCTATTGATAACCTTAGCTAGATTGGACGTACGGAGTGTCCGGGCTTTAAATAAATTTGCTTCGTTTATGTGAATGAATAACTGTTTTCTCTTTTCCGTGCTCGGTGCTATGCAAAAATCGCTGAGATATTATGGTAGCTCAGTGTGGCGGCGTTTTGCACGCTGACTCGCTATTGCATTCGCTGTGCACAATATGTGTTCAGATGGAATGTGCCAAATCGTATTTCCGATCGATATGATAGATTTACTTTGCTACAGTGTTGATTATATTTTCCTGATTTAAACTGGTTCGTCCCTGATCTGAGCCTAAGTTCAAATTCGAAGGGCAGACAGACTTAGCGTCGTAACAGCCGTAATGCGCAGAAAGAAATTAGTGCCATGAAAGAAAAACAAAAGGATACGAGGCGGCTCAGTGTTATAGGAGTAATGAGTGTGCAAAGGATGCCATCGTACGTGTTTTTTTTTGTTTTTTTTTTAACTCTCCGCATCGCTGGGAAACGCTCAAGGTACCAGCAAAGACAGCGAGCTGGCGTGAAATTTCCATCGAGCGGAAAACGAGTGTCACTTTTATTTCATCATGCGCTTTCATTTTGATATGGCTCAAAATGGGCGCGAAATAGTAACAGGTAAGGCAACAAAATTTAGATGTTAGGTCTGGAGCACCGCCATACTCAGCCGTGTTGGGGGCATCTCTCGCGAGTCAATACGGCAAAGGTATTGCGCGTCGAACTGTACGTGAGAGTTATCCATTTCAGCGAAACCTTGATTTCGCAAAACTATTGTGGCTCGAGTCGTGGCTTCCAGTATTTGGAAGCCACGAGCGAGAAATAAATGACAGTTAATTTTGAAGGACAATCGCGACGTGGAAACCCATAAAAGAGAGTTCCAATAAGACGAGAGCTTCCCCTTCTCTTCAAGTGCGTGGGTTACGCTCTCAATCCTGCACCTGTGGTAACACTGCAGGCTCCTAAAATCGCTTTGAAAACGTTCCTGATCGCAACAACTTTTTTTTTTTTGTCGAGGCGCTATTTCATTTTTTTTTTCTTTTTGTCTACCTTGATACCCCATCAGCGCAAAAACTACCATAAACTAAAAAAAAAAAAAAAAAAAAATAGTGGGCATACAACGACAACGCACCCACTGGGACCCGAGTCAAGGCAAGAACAACATAACTACTAAAAGGGGAAAAAAATTATGTTCGCATACACAGACAGAACGCCTCCATCGAAAGAAATGAATCATGCGCTTGTTCTGGCAATCTCGTTGTGCGTCTGTCAAAAGCCACAAAGGAGGAAGACAATCAGCGCCTACACCACTCCCCTCCCCCCACCCCCCCCACCCCCACCACCCCTAAAAAGAAGAAAAAAAAGGTTTCTTGGGCGCGCGCGCGGTCGCCCAAGCGATGACCTTGGAAGGGTATGCGATTGTATTGTAGCACGTTTGTCCCCCGGTTGTGCCCCTGTCTCAAATGCCACGGTCCGTTTCTCCCAAGTGCCCGTCTTATCTTCCCGAGTATCAACTCCGCAGTGATTCTGAATCATTCCGATGCTTTCCAACGTTGCAAAACTGTTAGACGAATATTTGCACAGAAGTATACACTGTTCGCAGAACTATCTACGGCGCTAAAATTCACAAGCGCCGTGTTGGATTCGGGAACTCGTGTAGGTTTAGCTCATTTTGGAACATTCTTATTTGCTCGATGAACTCCACAAAACGTGTAAATATTAGAATGAACTTTCCAGAGAACGATATAGTCGGTTGCAAGCTAAGAACAATCTTTTAGCTCCACCCACAAGCGCACTGCGCCCATCTGAAGTGCCTCCACCGTCGAGAAAGTAGTTCGCTAGCAACGTTGCTTTTTCTTCCTCCAGGAAACGTGTCTTAAATTACTACAATATTTATTTAATTCATTCAGGACATTTAAATAAGTTAGAATATGTTTTTGTCAACGAAATAGCTGTTTAGTAAAGAAAGAAAGTCACGTACAATGTACCGTCTTCCCAATTCATTTTCTGTCCAAGATACTGTCTAACATACCGTCTTCCAGCTCTCAGCAGTGCTAAGCCTTGCGCCCGCTTCGAAATTTTCGTTGGCGATAGCGTCGCTGGATTCTCACGTTGTCGCGCAAAAACTGCTGCAAACGCAAGCCGATACCATTAAGATTTCGTGGCGTAACCTCGGGCACGTAAAACACGGTGCAAAAAAGCAGAATAATTGTCACGAGAAACTAGCGTCGCGTTGCTAAGGCCAGCAGCCATGTTGAGTTTTTTTTTTTTTTTTTCAAAAGGATCGCGATTGGTCCACGGCATCGTGACGTCATGAAAACGATTGGCTGGCGTTTCTCGGCGTAGGATTACATTTTCCTCTGAGAGGCATTTCCGGTTTTTTCTTAGCTTGCAACCGACTATAGTTGTTGTCCGGGTTCCAGGCGACCGGACAGGTCGCAATTATTGGCTGATTAAAAATTTTATTTCATAATCATAATCGTATCATCAAGGGCACGCCATTTCCTCATCACTTCTACGAAAAGAGTTGCTGTATTCGTAGCACACACAGACGGAAACGGTTGAGACTGTGCCCAAATAATATCTTCTTTTGGCAGGTACTGCGCAGCGATTACACACAATGCCTCTAACATAAACATGCTGCTCCACATGTCTATTCACAAGATGCAATACATCGTTCTCCCAACTTTGTTGAAATGGGCATGAAAGCGCGTAACCGTCACTTTTTTGAAGATCTACTTAGAGGTGAAGTGTTTACCGTAAAAAGTCGTTAATTATTAATTTTTTTCCGTTCCACTACAAAGCTCGATTCACTTAAATTTTTGTTTTTATATTGTCTCTACAGCGCTTTTACGTCGGTACTTTCGTGTTAGAGGACATCACATAATGTGCGAAAAAAAACAACAAAAAAACGGTAGGATCGATGCTGCATAGCCTTTTTTTTGTGGACATCAAGAAAAAAAAAAAGATAGTAGTTGTCTTCACTTCGCACTGCATGTTTTAGCACAGAAGTTCCTATTTGGTTATGATGTCTTTACTTTCTTAAAACTTGTATACAGTAATTTAAATTACCGAATTACAAAAACGTCGAAATTGTATAATTGCTTTTCGTTGGGACGCCATGACGACAGCGACACTCGTGTTCCCTCGTGGTTTTCGCCAGCATTTCTACGATGAATTGCCAGGATCGCGAGATGCAACAGCGTGACACTCCGTCTTCTGTGACGTCATTTGTTGCACTTCGGGACCACTTTTGATGTATGGCCAGCATAAGACGCTAAACACACAGGTCGGAGACGCGCTGCAGGTGCCATAGTACTCCTCCTAAAAGTAGCTGTCACGTGCTTTGCTCCGCGACTGTGATTCCCTCACAGCAGCTCTGACTGAGGGTTGCCAAATTACGGTGAAACGGAATATAGACAAAACAGACCGGAAACGAGCTGCCAGCATACGATAGTCAAACTCCAACAAAAAGGATTAGTTTCTTCCCAAGCTGGACGACATTTACCAGGCATCTTTAGAGCTGCGAAGCTCAAAATCACGCGTACTCATAAGATTTTTTTTTTTCTCGCGTGTTTGTGATTTTTATGATGTCCTGCAAGCAAGAAAAAAATATATATGGTGAAGTCACTCCGAGGGGGTACCGATAACTGCGAGCCACGAACATGAAGGATTCGCCGTCAGGAGTGTGAACGGTAAATCGTCACGCAAACATATTCTCACAAGCTGCAAATATTTATTTGGCTTAGCAAGTAGAATACTAGTATACTAACGACATGTGATTATTGTACACAAGATACCATTTCTCGGTTCTTCAAAACCATTTCCCTAGTCTGAACGGTCGCGCTACGGGCCGCGGCTAGCCGTGCCCTCGATAGACTACGGAGCTGCGCTGTGTCGTCTGCTGTACCGCCAACAGGAGAGCGATAGCTCTGTGTGCTCCACAGATGCGTGTTGCGGTATAACTCTGTACGTCTGTCCTAGAGGAAGACAAAAAGATAGGCTCTGTGACCCCCTCCTAGGCCAACAAAAACAAACAGAAGTATACTCGTTTGGACTGAAAGGTTTACAAAATAGTGACCAGACATTGGAAAAGCATATGTCACAGAACTTGGTTTATGAAATGGCATCATTGTTTCGAGCAAGAAATCACCTGCTCACCACTGGGACGATGAAATCGTCACTATTTATTGCGTCAGGTATATTTGCGCTCATGAAGAAAAATCTGAACACATCCTTCTCCCAAAGTCCTATGTCGAATAATAAACACTTTTTTAAACATCTATGCACAAATAACTCATTTTTCTCTACACCTGTATATACACGTTAATTAAACGACGTCAAACCGCATTTTTGATTAGATCTTGATGTCTGCACCAACTACATTCATATTTTTTAGGGCTTTATTGAACGATAACTTCAACTATAGTTAATGGAACACGATGGCTCGATCTCAACAAAAACCTCAACGTGCGAAGCTTCCACAGACGGTCGCTTGCGAGTATTCTCAATGTGAGACTTCAGAAGCTTTCGCTTGCCATAGGGAGCTTGCTTTCGACTACAGCACTGCACGGGCCCGGAAAGCGCGGAGCGCGCTGCTGTGGGGAGAGGTTGACTTTCAAGATGACGTGTTACGTGGTCACGTAAGATGGCGTCATTTCGTGCAGCGTGATCACGTAAGATGACGTCATTTCGTGTAACGAGATCATGTAAGATGACGTGTTTGTGTCACGTGATCACGTAAGATGACGTCAGTTCGTATGAACTGACGTCATCTTACGACAACGCCAACAACATTAGTGCCGTCCGAACCATTGACCTTAGAAACGCGCCTCTTCGCTTGAAGAGCTGATATGCGTTGATTGTTATTTGTTTCTTTTGCCTACTACAGACCATTCAAAAACTCGCCTTCTGGGTGCCACCAACTTCGTCTAGTGGGCTGTGAAGCGCGTTCGAGCGTGCGCAATACCTTTCTAGGCCGAAAGATTGTACACTGAGTATGCGTTCACAGCTCAATGACTTAGGCATTTTTCGTCAGGATAGATGCTCCCACGAGAAGAGCGTAATGGATATGTGAATAGAATTGGAAATTTGAAATGTTCTTGTCCAATCGCATTTTTCTTTGGTTATCAATGCTTTTTAGCGTCATCACAAGACGTTCAGCCCATAATACACTGGTGATTAAAAAATAAGCACCGAAAAACATGCAGCGATTTTCGCTCAAAAATAAACACCGGAAAAAACATACCGTAATCATTACCCATGTCACCTTTTTGGGTGATATGTGAATTTCTAGAAGAACAGCGAGTTATCACCCTCCCCTAGGAATACCCTGACTACAGAGCAGGCGACCCGTTTTTCCCCGCATTAGATTGCGGTGACCACGAACCGTACGGAGGTCACAGGACGTCCGTGAAAAATAAAAAGGAGGCAAACAACGATTTACTCTGTGCACGCTTCATCCCCGATTTCCACGACCCCAAGGCCGAAGGACGTTTGTGTGAAGGATAACAATAAAATAAAACTTTGCGTCAAAAAAAAAAAAAAAAAAAATCCCGTTTTTAAAAGAAAAAAAAAATTAGAAACAAGCACAACGCGTTGACGACCGCGAGGTTGTGGAACACCTCGCGGTCCGCTTGCCACAGGACGGTTGTCTTCGACCCATAGCTCCAAGGTGAATTTGCCACTTGCGAAAACACGGAGACCTACCCAGCGAGAACCAGGAAAGCAAGACACGCACACTGACGCCTCGGCGTGCAGAATGAAACAGGATACGGGCGCGGAATACGGCCGCGGAAGAACACCTCGCACAGTGCCGATCCGGCCGATCTCCGAACGGACGATTTCGCATTTCGTGGACAGCGAGCGCCACCGCACGGGAGAGAGAGGTACCTTAAAAACGACGAAAACAAGCACCGACACCTTGGTTCTTTATATTTGCTGTAGTTACGGAAGAAATCGACTTACATGAATAATTTGAATATTATTCGATTCCGTTATAAATTTAAAAGACATTAAGCGCAATAATTCTTATGTTTGAATTTAGATAATTTTGTAAATTCGCTCCGAACGCAAGAGTGCCGAATTAGCCGATTTTGACCATTTTCATTTTTTAAAGAATATAATTAAATTTATGATGAAACATTTGTTGCACTTAGTGTCTCGATAATGACTCAATGTCTTTAAAGCCGAAATTTTCAAGAAGATCCACGCAGCCGTTATTATGTGAGAATTTTTTTAATTTGGTGAGAAACCTCATGTATTCTCTATGGGGCTCTCAGGTGCGCCCCCTCTTAAGTCTAGACATAGCCAATGCTACAAGGGCAAGTATGTGGCCTGAACAGTGCTTGCACTGCCCAAGCATGCGTGCTTGGCAGTGATGCTGAAAGCCCGGAGTTTGCATTTCTGCAATTTCTGCAAAAAAGCTGATTTTGAAAAATGCCATATTTACATACACCAACATCCAGAGCGTATTCCCACAAAGTTTCATTAGTTCACACTGAGTAGTTAATTTTTTATAAATTATTTTCGGCCCACCAATGCTAAGGAAAAAGCAGGGGTTGGAACACTTTGAACGCATTTTTCTCCATTCCATTTTTTGTCATAAATTTCACTTTAGGAAAACTATCGTTTGCTAATGGGGCAAGGCTCACTCATTGTTTTTCCTAACGGGAATTTCATGGGCAATGCAACTGTGAAATAGTTTTTTCACTTTGTAGATGTCTTTTATAAAAGATGTTAAGATTTTGTGGACAACATAGAAGGCAAAAACATCATTTGATTTTTCACTGCGATGTTAACATAAATTACTTTTTGAGAAATTTTGTTTTCATAGTTGCACTCTCCAGGCATTCTGCAGCAGATATAGAATAGAAAAATGTTGAGTGTTACATTAGTTTCCTAACGATAGTTTTCCTAAACAAAGTCGGTGTGCTCCTGATAAAAATGACTATAACTTATTTTACAATTTATGTACACAGATAAAACTTTGCGCTGCATTCTGCCTTGCTGGTATATACTGTAAATTTCATTCATATTAAGCCATAGGTTCGAAAGTTGACCCTCTTAGGTAGTGTCCCCTCTTAAGCCGAAACAAAGTATAGTAGGCAGATTATCACTTGTTGAGAGATAATTCTTTCTTGAGCTTCACAACATCCGCAACCATCTGTTTGAAAGAAAAAAAGATGGGTAGATGACGAGAAAAAGAAATGCAAGCTTCGCTTATGCTTCTTCTGCAGGAACAATATCTTCTACCCACTCCCTGCTATACGAGTACCGCTAGAGTTTGATGAAGAGCAAAAAGAACTTCTTTACTCCCACTAAGGCACTACACCCTGAACGCAGCTGTGTCTATCTTATTGAATGGCAATGACTCACTGGAGGCAGGGTTGGAGCTGAAGTAGCGCACCATGGTCGGCTGCAGTCTGGGCACCCGCCACATCAGAAAGACGGCCGCATTCACACCAATGATGGCATAGGCCACCTTGGTGCCCTCGCTCAGGCCGTTGTACCACTGGTTCAGCTGCCACAGGGGGGACAACGCAAGCATTTGAGTAACGAGTGCCAGACTCAAAGCAGCGACTTTAGATCATAAAAAGATACGAAGTCAAGACTCTCAGTGAAATGATGCCTGCCACTCTTGAGGCCTCTAGGAAGTTCCTACCAGCTTCAAGTATACTTGTTTGTCAGCACAAACAGTCACAAGCTTGCTTGTTTTCTAAGTATCATGTCAGCTTGTTAGAAAAAAAAAGTCTACTCGGTCAAAAAAAATGCAGGACCCTAACTGACTTCACATAGAACAGGGGTGGCCAAGCTGCGGCTCCCGAGCCGCATGCAGCTCTTTGCGTGTTAAAGAGTGGCTCACCGCACCCCACCCCCCTCCTCCCCCCCCTCCCCCCCCCTTCCCCCGCCTCCCTCCCGGTCACACGAGCACTTGCCCGAAAAGGGAAATGGAACACGTTTTAAATCGAAGGACAGGTTGCTGTTTGGTAGTCTCGTGATACTGCTACCTTACGTACAGTGGACTACTTTTGACTCGGGATAGATTGAAAGCAGTTCGACTTTCTTTTATTGCTCTAAACAAAAGCCCCCCCCCCCCCTCCACGGCTCTTGGAAGTTTTGTGATTTTTGTTTGCGGCTCTTAGGCCGTGTCAGCCTGGCCACCCCTGACATAGAACAACTTTTTCCGACGTCTTGACGTTGCAGCAGCTGAAACTTCTGTTTCGCGCGTTTCCATACAGCAGGTGCTGAAAGAGCAACGCATTAAATGTTTTCATCATCACCCTTACAAATGTGTTTCTCTCGCACCATTCAGACACAAGCTTACGCAATAATAGCATGTTCATAGTATATCTGAAACACAATTGTGAATACTGACTCCTATTAAACTATTAGTTAGAGAACATAAACAATCCAAAGCAAACCAAAACAAAGTCAAGCACTGTCTTCATTTAGTATCACCATCACACCCAGAAGGGGCCACACAAAAATGCTGCATCCCCGATTGCTGGTTGCTGTCAAACATTCCTGAGCTGCTGATTAGTTTCAATCCGATCAATCCCAGCAATTAAAGCAGCAGCACGAGAGACACTAGGGTGCAGTTTATCACCAACCCTGTACCGGCGAGCAAAACTGCCCCGTATGAAGTGTTTGCAGTTGGTTCAATTAAAAAAATAACATATTTTTATAAATAAGCAGATTGAGTGATAATTGTGCCCCCCAAAGCTTTCCGACAAATGGTGGCACAATGGCGAGCCGATCCCATCCTCACCTGCTGCCTGAAGGCACCGTATTTGTAGTCCCTGGCAAAGGGGCGCACCCGGCGGTTCTCCAGGTACACCTTGGCCTCGTGGCGCATGTTCTCATACTGCCAGATGCTGGCACCGACGAACGAGGCCCCGCTGCACTGAGGGCAAGCAGGCATCGACAAAGCTCAGCAAGACACTTGCAGGGAAATACCAACGAGAGTGCTTACCGAGCCACCCCGGCTCTGGAATGAGCAGTTTCTTTATTAGTGCCTAGGTTTCTGCAATCTAGACCAGTGTTGTGGTAGAAAACCCGTAAAGTGTAGATCAAGCCAAGTACAAAGTTACTAGTAGGTTTGGTACTCGAGGCAAAGTAAAAACGTATTGTGGGCAGAACATGCCTCAACGAAACTGCAGGGCGTTTCAAACTAATCACTTTGGAGAGTTTTAGAGCACAGCTCTTAGGCGCCCGTTTCTGGCTTGAGCGGCGTTGCTGTCGCTGTCAGCGGAATTACACGGTGCATTATGTGACGTTTCCCATGATGACGTCACGAAGATTGTGCCACCATTATACACAAACTCATCTCTGTTACGTCACGGCGCGGTGGTGGAGCGTCGGGCGCACTTCCGTGTCTGGGGCTGTGGGCGGAAGCCGCCATGGGGCACGTGCATTCCTGTTACTTTGGAGGAAACCGGACAAAAACCAGCCTTCTCGTCAAAACGCCGCGACCGGGGCGTTACCAAAAGTGTCGGGAAAAGTTTGAAGGTCAGTTTTTATGCGTTTTCTGCCTGCTCGGTTCGTCCGAGAACGTAAACAGGGGCCGTTAAAAAGGAAAAATAGACGCCGTCGGACCACGATTGCTTGGGCGGAAAGCACTTCGGATTGAATTCACGGATACTTGTGGTCATCAGATTTATTTGTTTTGTTCCAACATGAACACGGGAAAACCGTCAAGTTGCACGGACCACCTGCAGACTATGTTCAGTGCGTCATCACGTTCAAACGGCCGCCTCATCGTTCGAGCTGTCGTCTGCTCTCTCAAACGTTTCTGCTTGTCGTCTGCTCGTTCAAACGACAGCGGTCCGTAGACCAATTGTTGACCCAGTAATTGCGATAAGAAGTGCAGACCTCAAAAGACGTTTAAGTTTAAAGGTTGCTTCGGGTAAGTAGGCTCGGTGTAAACAGTAGATATAGGGAGATGTTGATAATTGTTACCAGTGGCCATCACAGACCTGTTATCCCCGATTCACTCGGTCCGATTCTGCTTGCGATTTTCAGTATTGACGTCGACATCTCAGCTACGGTTTAAGCTTTTGCAGCCCGAGCGACGTTATGACTTAAAATAGCGAGCAGAACCTCACCATGTGAATCAGGCTTTAGCGTCCATCCTGCGGCATCTACGTGGAATGAATCGCCGCATGTTACATTATTCACGTCAAGCTTTGCGGTGTAACGAGCCTCAATAATTTCGCTGAGGCCGCTCAAGTAGTCAGACATTGCAAGGAAGACGTAGAATCAACAATTCCAACGCGAAAAAGAGCGCGGGGACTCACACTGACGCCGACAACATACCTTTCCGATGGTTTGTTTATGGGCGACGGCGAGCTTCTTGCCCACACCCCCATCGCGCATGCGCGGCGTCTGTGGTGTCCGCTAGGGGCGCTCCCGTTTGTTTGTAAACATGAGTTGTTGTATAGGAAACGTCCCATAATGCACCGCGCATGACGTCACGAAAGTCACTCGTGAAGGTCATGATGAAGGTCACGACCTTCATGAGTGACAAAACAAGGGGGGAGGAGAGGAGAATGAGAGGAGGATGGAGGAAAGGGAGAGTGAGGAGGGGAGGAGGGCATACCCTCCTCTCTGTACCCTCCCCTTCTCCTCCTCAAGAGCTACGCTCTAACTTGGCATTACAGGGAATTGTAAATGTCTCATTTTTTCCTGCACATACTTTAACTGAGAGTTGTGGAGCGCCAAAACATTACTGGAACATAGATGCAACGGTGACGCCAAGATTGTGCAAGTTTCGGGTCAATGTGGTACTCAAATGAAAGGGCAGCACCCTCCATTGGCAACAGACGTACTATACTCCGTCTCGCTAAAACCGTGCAGTACAACCAAAGCTACAGGGGAGAGAGCGTACGCCAACCTGTTCAAGAGGAGGGAAAGGAGGAACGCATGGGCGTACCAACCGGGGGTGCAAGGGGTGCGGTTGCCCCCCCAGCTCTCAGAGTGGGGGGCCAAGGCATGTGTTTTGCTCCCCTGAAACAGCTGCCACTGGGCAGGGCAAACATGGCTGGCGGAGCCCAAGGGATACCAAGGGCACCGTGGCGGGGGGGGGGGAGGTTTGGTTCGTCCCCCACTCAAAAACAAGTTGGTACGCCACTGGAGGAACGTGAGAGAAAGGCTGAGATTCTGCCGTTCCTTCTTCCCCTCTTCTTGAACAGGTCGGGGTACACTCTCTCCCCTGTAGCTTTGGCTGTACTGAACGGTTTAAGTGAGACGGAGTATATATCTATAGGTCAAAATCGACCCAGCACTGCGGCCGCCACAATGCATTCCGTTGCCGAGTTGCTGGTACGAGATGCCATACACCGGTGGGCACCTCAGCTTCCTGTCAATTCGCGTGTTGGTTTAACCCACCCCGAGAGCGAAGAGGAGGGACTTTGTCAGCGTGCGCGAGCCCGTGCCCCTTTGCTGAGGCTGAACCAGGTGGGCGCGAGGCTGCTCTGTGCCCGGTTGCCTTGCCTGTCTCTGGAACAGGCGCAGCGGTGCCCTCGTCCATGGATGGACGCTCCTGCACGGCGTCCTGGATGGGAAGCGACACATCTAGCCGCTGACGAGGAAATGAACTGGCAACGTTCTGAGTAGCCTACACTGACTGCAATGGTGGTGGGCCACATCCATTTATTTCTTTTTCCCAAGTCTTTCCTTAACTCAAAACAAAAAAAAAAGTTCTTTAAAAACTGTTAACAAAAAGGGTTTCCGGAGGTGCATTGTTTTCATGAAAGATGGTTCACAGTTACACGGAAGCTTTTACAAAACGAATACATTTCCGGCATAGCCACAGTGCTTCTTCGCTTTGACCTCATTATTTCATGTACTATTTTGCCTCATCTCTCACCAAAGACTTATGCAACGTCGTCCCTAAACTAGATATATTTTATAGGGAATTTACTGCTGGCAGCCCAATGCAAAGCATGCATAAAACAGAGATGGCACACTCCTTTTCAGCTTTTGTAAGCCATCCAGACAAGTTTCCCGACTCTCCTGGGCATCATCTGCCGCTTCCTGAGATGAAGCGTAAACTTACATGCATATTTGAGCCACTTTCATGAGCTTTGGACTTTTTGACAGTAAAGAGACATCTGAAGGACAGGCTAAATAGCTTCCATTGACAGTATCTTGAGCACATCAGCCCATACGGCATTTATGCTGATTTGTAGAAGTTATCTTTAAATCTTTCGAAGGAAGTTAATCTGTGGTTGCATGCCGACCTCAGCGATAGATTACATTGCCGGAAGTAATAGTTTTTTTTTTTTGTTGTTGTTTTTTTGTCATAGGATACAAAATATATGTAGCCTCAATTCACGAGCCACATAGGGTGGGTATTTCTTTCTGTAAATACAGTTCATGTGAAAAAGACTTGATCCGCAGCAATGTTTAGGCCTGATGTTGGAAAAGGTAAGTTCTTTGGTGTTTTCTTTTCTTCACATGTGCAATTCTTTAAGAAAGCTTAAAAGGAAGCGTTGTCCGCCACGCCAAGAAGCTGACCTGCGATCGTTAAACCAGCCTCTGTCCCGTCCGCCCCCCCCCTCCCCCTTTTTATTATTTGTTTTTTTGTCCTACGTCTTGGGTTTTACAATGTCGATAATTAATTCGAAACCCGACCATTCAACAGCTGTTTCCTCATCAAGTACCACACAGCGAAACAGAGTGCGGTACCACTGAACCTGCTCCCCCAAACCCGATGACAACATTTGCGGAGTATTCCGTCAGCACACAAGTTTGATCGTGCCAACGCAAGGCACGGCCTGCATTTGCCAAAGAAAGGTAGATGTGTTTTAACGCACCGGCAGCACGCCTGAGCGATGGCTCTGGAAAACAACGCCATGTTTCTCTTCGGTGATGCGTGCACTTCCTAGCTAACCATTTTGTTATATCGGAGGTATAATTCCTTGAGAGTTATTAAACTGTCGGCGGAATCAGACAAGAAGAAAGGTACTGTACGTAACCGCAAATAATATACTTGGCAGCCCGCGATCTTACGTCTGCAAAACACAAACTCGCAAAGCTTGCATGACGAAATGAAAGCCATTGTCATGATCGGCGAGGAATGATATTTCGCTGTATCTAGTGAAATTAGCAAAGCGTGAAAATGTAAGACATTATTGGTTGTATTAATTTAAAGTATTAATATTTAAATCTAAGTTGTGTAAATAAAGTGAATAATTACATTTTAAAATATAAATTGTGAAAATAATTATTTTTTTTGTAGATAATTACCGGAACCGGAAATTAACAATTCCTAACCGAAACTAAGTGCGGCTCAAATGTACGATGTCAGACATGTGCTCTGTGTGATCTTCATTCAAACTCTTCGAGTGATTTTACAGTTAGCTCTAAGCTACTGTCATTTCTAGAGAACTGAAATGGGTTGCTTTATTCTCTCTTCATCGTGGAAGTTTTGAATTGTTGGCGGTCTCGGGCGAAGCACAAGTAAGCCCCTTTCAATCTCGAGCTCTTTCGACCCTCACACTCGTAGTCTCTCGACTTCGGGATGTCTGTTCTGTTCAGTGTTTGTCTTTTCATTGATCCTAAAATCGGTACGAGTTCTGGAAATTTGGTGCTAGTACGCGCATACACGCAAGGGAAACTTCTATAAAGCGACTTTCAATCGTGACTGCGCTTGTGGTCTTATTTTGCAGTCGACTTGCCGGCTTTGGTAGTTCACCCTTCGCAGCACATTGCAAAGGTATTTCAGCGTCACTGTGAAATAAACGACTGATTGCAGGCTAGCGCACAGGGACCGAAGAAATATCCAAACAAACGTTTACAGTCATTCTGTTAATTCTCGTGAAGCAAGACGCAAATGTTTCAAGAGGCATCAAGTTAGCACGGGACGGACAGCGTCTACCTTCCAAAATTCGCCCCTAAACAAACAAAAATGGAATTGACTAGCATGTTGGGAACATGTTAGTCACACAAAAATAATGGCTCTTTTTTTTGTTTTGAGACCTATGAATGTTTCTAGGTACAGACACATAAAGGCGAGCTCAAACTTAAAAGGAGGCTAATGCACAAGACTCTTTTAGACCGTCTCGTGTTTGGCCGCTTAAGTGAAGTGGAAGCTCCTCCCAACTCTTTCCCCCTTAGCATAGCGAACGCTGGAGAGAAGGTCGTCTCCTCTCCAGCGTTTGCTCTGCTAAAGTGGAAAGAGGTGGGAGGAGCTTCCATTTTACCCTTACTCTTTCACAGACTATATATCTATATCAGACTTCTTTAAGGGTATAGTAGGGAGGAAGTGGCCGAGTGGGCTAACCCGTCTCAGCTCGGAGCGTGGAGCGAAAGCTTGCACTGGGAACCTCATGGGTTCGATCCCCGCCGCCCCCGCCCGTTTCGATCTGGATGAGTTTCGTACCGGCACGCGTTCGTGTGATCACTACTGCGTGATGCACGTTAAAAATCCCAGGTTAGCGGTTGTACCGCACTGGCTAAATTTCTCATCTACTGCACTGGCTAAATTTCTCATCTACAGCTGGGAGACTCGTCGCCCCTGTGAGGCAGACCAAGTTCTAGGCTGTATAAACATACACACAACCCAATTTTTTTTCTACAGCTAAGAGACCGATTACCCGTTGAGGCGCATCTCCATCAAGGCTGTATAAACATAAAGAGCAAGCCAATTTTTTTTTTTTTTAAGGGTATAGTTATGGGAACATATGCCATGCTTATTAAGACATGAAGGTGAAGGCATTTCACCACCTCTGGTGTGCCTTCCTTGCTTAGTGCTCATTAATCATTTCTGATTGCATGACCATATTTTTTTTTCAGGATGACTATCATGGACTACTTCACCCAGTTGGGCTCTAACCCCTACTTCGGTGCGGGATTCGGTCTGTTCGGGGTCGGTGCTGCAGCCGCACTTGCACGAAAAGGAATGCAGGTGAGCATTTTTTTTCCCGGGATGGAATTGACCTGTGATGCTGATTGCAGAGTGGAGTCTATAAAGATGTACTTAATATTGCTCAGAGTAGCGGCTGTCAGCGCTATAGCCTCTCGTAACAGCCTCGAATTAGATTGGACAAGCCAGAAAATGGCTAAGCCAAGGTCGGACCAACTGATAAAAAATGAAGGTGTCCGGCTGTGCAAATGCTTTCTACAATATGTGTGATTGTTTTGATGCATTGAGTATTCATTGCAGTGTTGATTTTCTTATGAGAAGATTTGTCTAGAATATTTTATTCTTGAAGTTAGGACAAACACCTCTTTATTTTTGCTTTATATGCTGGTGACTTGGCAAGTGCATTGTAGCTAACTGTTAAGATTGATATTATAAATTGTAATTTTTGGGTAAGCATTTACTCAAAATTGTATGATATGTGTTGCAATAGTAACCTGGAACTGTTATATGTAGGTTGCAATACATTACCGGATCTAGAAAATGGCAATGCTTTGGGATCTGTAGAACTTTCCATCACTCTTTTACTACACATTCACTACCTGAAAAGGGCACTTCCCTGGCAGCACAGGATATCCTTTGTATGCTCATCGGACATCTGTGTCCGCCTGGTTCCTGGACGCCTCGAAGTGACAATCAAAATTGAAGCCAGTTCACACATGCATCTCAGCAGAGAAATAACACATTCAGTGATTGTCAACGCTGAATAAGCACCGAGTTAGCTCTGCATTGTGTGTGTAGGCAGAAAGGCGGAGTCACATGCAACTGTAGGACAAAGTCAGTGCTGTGGTGTGAACAGGCTTTTAGTGAAATGTGGACTGCCACTGGGGGCTTCTAGATGGTTTCCCTTCAAAAGCATCCTGCCAGCTTCAATCATCTTCATGTTTCATTTGTGCGAAAAGGTTAGATGCATAAAGATGAGGTATCATTGCTCTACATATTATTGGGGCTGTCTGCTGACCTTGGGGACGTGCTCAGGTGGGCATGATCCTGTTCCGGAGGCACTACATGATGACGCTGGAGGTGCCGTGCCGCGACAAGAGCTACCAGTGGCTGCTGCAGTGGATCACCCGGCACGCCCGGCACACGCAGCACCTGAGCGTCGAGACCAGCTTCCAGCAGCACGAGACCGGCCGCGTCAAGACCTCCTTCGACTTCATCCCCAGTGTGGGCGTCCACTTCTTCACGTGCGTCCCCCCGGCGTCGCGTTGCCGCCACTTTTGGTTTGGACGCACTGAGTGTGTCGGTGTTCCCGGGTTTTTTCTTAGTTGCAGTGTTCTGCTCTAGCTCTTCTTTTCTTTGAAACAGCGAGGTTGTGAGTGGTTAATTTTAATCAGTGGGAGAAAGGAGGCACGTGGAGGGTGCAAAACAAAGGATTTATACATCTGACCAAGTACTGCAGATGAAGTTGTGATTGCAAAACTAATAATCTTGCAAAGTTTAGAGCATTTCTTTTGCGAGAACAGCATTTTAGTTGAATGTAAATTGGGCGTATGCTAGAGTGGGAAACCTGTTTTCTGAAAAGTGTGTCAATCATTTTCGATTCACAAGAAGCAAGACACTGCAAAACATAGCTATTTGGAGCAGTTCGGTCGAAAGTGCCACGTATCTCGAGGTCTTTGCGAGGTGGCTGTTTACCCCTCTGTTGTCCAAAAGTTTCACTCCAACAAAATATTAATCTTTTAGTCTTTGAATCGAACATTGAAAATATACCTGGTTTGGGTAGCTCGCATTTCTTGAGCCACTGCCCTAGATATATTTGGTCATGTCTAGGTAGTAGAAACTAGGTAAAAGTTATTTCATAGCAAGTTTGGGTCTCTATCATTCTTTTCTCCAGCTATCGAGGCACGTGGATCCGTGTGGAACGTAACCGCGAGCAGCACACCTTGGACCTGCACATGGGAGTGCCCTGGGAGACAGTCACCCTCACAGCACTCGGGAGGGACAAGGGCATCTACTTCAGCCTCCTCGAGGAAGGTGCGTTCTCTCTCGTGGTACGTGGGGAGCTTCTCCAAAAGGAGTGTTTAACATCCTGTACTGCCTACGCGTCCCCAAAAACAGAAGCCGCCGTCGAATGCTATGGAATTCTGCCATCGGAACGGTTGGTCGTGAAAGGAGCGGGCTTCGCTGTCATTAGGGTGTCTGAACCTGTATGCACTGTAGCTTCTGCTGAGCTGGCCAGCTGCAGGCTGAGCTACAGTAAAACAGGTTCCCAGAGTGTACATATCTCTGCTACTGTGCCAATGTCAGAAGCATAGTGGTCAGCAGCATTACACAGGTGTGATGCTGCCAGGTGGAAATCAAGGAGACTAAACAATGACACTCTGGTCACACCAGTCAGAGATGTGTTCCAGGCATCTCTCCTGCTCCGTCACACACTTTCCCTCTTTCTTGTTTTGGGTGGCATCGAAAGATGCGCTCACCGTTTCACCTGCTGAAAGGGGTCAGGTAGTCGACAGTTTCATACGCATTGTGCCGTGCTTTTTTTCTCCTTGTATGTTATTCGTATTACGACTTTACCTTTGCTGGAAAGTCGTCGAACTATGTTGTGCCCGGCATTTCCAACATGAAATATGTTTTCCGTGTTTGACCCTCATTATTTCGTGCTTCAGCCTGACCCTCATTATTTCGTGCTTCAGCCTAAGTGTGTTGCTCATTTCTTTATGCTACGAGCATTACAGCAAAACATTAGATTGTAGCACCCCACACCTTGGGAATGATTTGCTGGAGCGTCACACGCTCCGCGGATTGGCACATTTTATCCCAAGTGTCGAATGCTGCCGTGGTGGGCATTTGTCTGTTTGTATTGCGGCATTTGTTAGTACACTAGTGGCATGTAGTCATCTTAATTTTTTTGGCCTAGTCTGAATGACTTAGTGTTAGGAGACCCTGGCAATTCCATTAGGTTCTGTCAGCTAGCAACGCTCAGTGACTAATAGCATTGATCCGAGGCAACAAGTTCGACGGGGCCTCGGTGGAAGTATTTTTGAGCGGAGCCTACGTGGTGGCTAGGTCTCGGCTGCCACTCTCGAGACTTCCAGGGGCTTCTCTTCCAAGTTATTCCTACCAGCTGCCTCCGCATTTTCTCGATGTCTGCGAGAGAGCTGTGGATGTACAGAAATGGTCGTCTGCCACCGCAGCCCGCAGCCTCGCCCTGGAGAGGGAGGAGGGCAAGACGGTGATGTACACGGCGGTGGGGTCGGAGTGGCGCCAGTTTGGCCACCCCCGGCAGAGGAGGCCCCTGGGCTCGGTCATCCTGGACGACGGACTGGGACAGCGCATCCTCGCAGACGTCAGGGACTTCATCGCCAACCCAAAGTGGTACACCGACAGAGGTGGGCTTTCCAGTTGGGCTGTGACCTTCAAGATGGCCGGTGCATGAAGGATTCCTCCGGCATTCTGTGGGAGGGACTGTACAAACTGGTTCACACGCTTGCGACTGTCTACATCCATGTGCCTTAAAACCTCTTACAATCTTTAACGATGAGAGAACGCACCGGCACCATATATCATTTCCGTAAGTTTCCTACATTTGGTGCGCATCACGTTTTCTTTTTTTTTTTGGCTCGAAGAACCTTTGACAGTGTTATAAACGACCCATTCTTATAGATATTGCATACAATTGATCTCCCAAATACCGTGAAACATTTTCTCTAGTCAAATGCAGTTAGAGGGTCACCTTTTAGATGGAGCCAGCGTACCAGTGTGTTTACTCGTCGTAAGAGATCGTAGGAACTCAGTTGTAAGCAAATGCGAGTGTGTGAGTGGGCCTTAAAAGGCCCATGAAAAGAAAAAAGTATGTTTTTTTAAACAGTTTGGTTGGGACACGTGTTTCAAAAAATTAACTTTACGCAAAATAGATATTTTTTTAGAGCAATGTTGGTGGCGCAAGCCGCAATTTAGTCGATAGTCACCTCCTTTCCACTTGTTTTCTCTCTCGGCATTTCGGGTGCGTGGAGGAGAGTTGGAAGGGCTTCGCCTTCACGTTGAGAAGGAAAGACCGAACATCTCGTCGAGGTGGGAAGAATGTATGACCATTCCGTGACACCGTGGATTTTGCGCGCAGAATTTAAAATAAATCTCACGCCGTCAATATTGCTCTAAAATAAAAAATTTTTTTCACGTAAAATTAATTTTTCTACACGCGTGTGCCAACCAGACTGTTTAAAAAAAACTTATTTTCTTTTCAGGGGCTTTTTAAGGGAAGAAAGTGGCTCACAGTAAAGTACTGACTGTGTTAGCGAGGGTTCACTGGGTCGGTCCCAGCCTTGCATGGTGCTTGCCAGTTTTTCGAGATTATCCCAAACCTTTGGGTGAGTGCTTACTCGGTATTGGATGTGGACAGCGCTACGTTCTTTCAGTTGCAACCACAGGCGGAGCCCGAGTTCAATGTGATCTTCTTTAAAGTCTCAAAGATGATTGAGAAAATGGAGCTTAAAAAAATTTAAACAAATGGATCGTGACGTTGTTGAATAGATACATTGTTACAATGATCGGGTCTGACATATGCTGCATAGTAATTATTGGACGTTTGAAGCAGCACATAAAATGTGACAGAAAATGCACTTGCACAGTGGTACTCTCGTTTATGAAAATTAATAGAAAACAAATCTGGAGAAATGGGACAAACTGAAAAGATGAGAGTTTCTGAGTTATAGCGGAAGTGAACAGACCTGTGAAGAAGTGCTATGTTTGTATCAGAGTGAAGATTTTTTTGTTGGAGTAGGAACTAGACTAGGCTAACAGAAGCTAGATCAAAAGAGCAAAGAAGGCAAGGGAAAGGCTGAGGTATCTTGAAGGCAAATGCATCACACCGAGACACACTGAACAGAAAAGAGAAGTGCCGTAGTACCTTAGTCGACCACTGTTTGTTCAGGGATTCCATACCGGAGAGGCTACCTGCTGCATGGACCTCCTGGGTGCGGCAAGAGCAGCTTCATGTGAGTGCAAGATCCATTCAGCACCAACCTCCGAGGTGACTCTTCGTTGCCATCTTCTGCACATACGCCCTGCAATAAGGACATGTGCAAAAGTAGAATCCAGTTGGAGCAGGAAAAAATGTTCGAATGCATGCAGCTTCGTGTTGTGGAGCTGCAGGAGAGGTGGAGAGAAGGGGGAAATCAAAAAGGATAACTGACAGTGTTGGGTGTTGAACATAACCTCGCAACAGCTTTTATATCTTACTAAAATGCACATGCATTGTCTTCCCAAGGTGACATGAAGAGCTATGGATGATCTGGTAGGAACTAGAAGACCGCTTTTCTGCATTGCTTCTGAGGCTTCCTCACTGCAAATAGCCAGTTAGGGTCGAGGGGAACACAGACGGGATGCTCGGGTCCGCACGCCGAGCATGTGCGCTTTCCGAAGGATTTGCCCATCCTTCAGAAATTGCACAGGCTGAGGGAGCTAGTTGTCCTTCTCTCATCCTAACCTGCAGTTGCTTGCCTGCCTTATTACTTTATAAAGGGCGTTTTTTCAGGCTTTACGGACTGTTTTTAGAAAAAGTCATTAAAGCTACAGAATTGCGGTCTGTGCCAGTGAGTTACTATATGGCCACGGAGTATGATATAGGGGCTAAGAGTCATGATAAGGGGGTTCAGTAACCAGTATTTGTTCATTAACTTCTCAATTAGTGGAGTTAATCATATCGTTCGAATTACAAACTTTCTGAGAATCATCGAAAACTACTAAATCGGTCAATTTTAGAATGACTTGGAGCACATGGTAAGTGCACTGGTGCGCTGAAGTTGCCACTCGTGGATGCAAAAACGCACCCATGCGGTTTCCCAGTCTCCTATCATCTGTATTTTCACACCACCAGCTTTGCGCCCATTTACACGAGTGGCAACTTAAGCACACGACTGTGCTTCCCACGTGCTGTCTGAAATTTACGGATTTAGCTGTTTTCAATGATGCTTAGCAAGTTTCTAATTGGAACCATATTTTCACTAATGAAAAAAGTTAAAAGAACAAATTTTTAGTTAGTTATTCACCTTATTGAGACGATTCTCCCATATCAAGGGTTTCGAATATGCGGCCCACGATTCGCTGGGACAAGGCCCGTGAGCATCCCGTGGCTGTGAGGCCCCGTTCCCATGTCTCGGGTGCTACATGAGCCATGCCTAATGTTCTCACGTTGTCGTTTAATTTTCACTTGAAACTTGGCTCTGCTCTTATCATCCATATATTTTTGGCATCAATATATATATTTTTCTGTGCGTCGAGTATGGTTTTGTCTTAATTTTTACTTCTCAGCTCTTTTGTATTGCCTTTACGACAATCCCACTTCCAGGCTTCAAGCCAGAGCTCTTTGCTCGTGGATACACCTGGGCTGCATGATTTCTCACTCAGAAAGAGCAACTGCGAAAGACAGGCTTTTAGCCATCAGAAAATACCATCGTCCTCTACATAACATTTTTATAATGCAGCTATACCATGGCAAAAGCCATGGTATGAAAATATTTTGTTTAGACACATTGAGCTCGATTAATTCCTAAACTTGAAATGTGAGACAGGACCACAAAATGCATACTCGCTAGTTCTGTTCAAAATTCAAGCACATCGGTGGGGGGGCATTTGAAATATCGTTATCACCATTAGGTATTGACCCAGAGTAGTCGTACAGGCAAATCAAAGCTAAAGATATCATTGGCAAACCGTCGAGTTTAGATGCAGCAGTAAGCACAATGTTGAAGCAGCTAGGCAGGCAAGCTGGTTAGGGATAGACACAGTAACCCTAAAATAAGGGAACAAAAAAAAAAAAAAAAAAAAGGATGAGCAGACACGAATCTGGTGTGTTGCTTAAAGATTTGGCTGCTTTACAATGTGGAACACCATTCGTTTCTGCTTTTCCTTCGTTCCAAAATATCTCTCTCCTCCCTCCCTCCGGCTCCACGTTGGCCCTCGACCTTTCAACGGTGGGCTATCTGGCCCCCATTCTCAGTTTAAAATCTCTGCCCCCTCCCCCCTCGGTCATATTACTCATCTGCACAGACAGCATTAGTGTAGCTTTCATGGCTTTCTTAAAACAAATCGGTAAAGCCTGGAGAAAACACCCTGTACATTGCGGCTTGCGAATCGAAGAGGTTCGTTGTGTGGCACGTGTCGTCTTGCAGCACGGCGTTGGCGGGAGAGCTGCAGTACAGCATCTGCGTGCTGAACCTGAGCGAGCGAGGTCTCTCAGACGACCGGCTCAACCACCTGATGAGCCTCGTTCCGCAGCAGAGCATCGTTCTGCTGGAGGACATAGACGCCGCCTTCCTCAGCAGGGAGGACACCGCTGGAGGTGAGGGCTCGCTTCGCTGCTCCACAGTCAAACACAGGATGCCGAACGTAGTCTGTAGAATAAACCGTAAAAGGCGGAAAAGACGAAGCCGCCGTTTCCCGATAGTGTTTGGAAACAAACCTCTCGCAGACGTTAGAGTGGCGGCCAACGTTTGCCAAGAGACTCTTTGCGAAATATCAGCGGCTTAGAGTGTGCATCTCGATGCTTGTCCTCATACAGCAAGTTTCAAAAATGTAGTTATGTTTCTTTAAATTTTGGAAGCACATGATTTAAACTTTCTCTAGGTTTCACCCTGACAGAATCCAAGCCGTATAAAGTACCCGGGTGCGGTACCACCATATAATTCCTTGTTTTGTGCACAGAACGGAGTGAGTGAAGTGCAATGTTTTTGTACGAGAGCGAGACATGCAAGCCAGCTGTTTTTTAATGTCTTGATGGCTTAGAGTGGGGTGTCGCCTGTGATTTGTCCTCGGGGAACGAAGCAGTGCTCAAAATGTAGCCAAAGAACCTGTCCAGTGCTCTTTCAGCAAGGCACATCTGTAAACTTTGTCAGTTGCGCAAGCCAAGATTCGATGCTATGCACGGCAATGCATATCGATAAAGTGCAGTCTTGTCCCTTTTGTTGGACTGCAGTGAAAGCTGCCTATGAAGGGCTGAGCAGGGTGACCTTCAGCGGCCTGCTCAACATGCTGGACGGAGTGGCGTCGGCTGAGGCACGCATCCTCTTTATGACCACAAACTACCTTGAGAGGCAAGTCCTTGCACTACCTTTATCTTGTGCATCAGACCCGTTTGAGCATTGCAGCTATTACGTATGTTTGTGTGATAACTTCATCTGACTGGAAGGGTCTGCTGAAATGCTTATGTGTGTGAGTATGTAAAATTGTGTCCAGGCAGTGATCTAGTTAATGCATAGACCCCAAACACTACCCACTTTTGTTGTCTGGTAAAGAATTGACGAATCAACACATGATCTCAGCTCTTCATGGAAGGTGTTGGCCTGCAGGTTCTTTTTACTCTTTTTCCCCTAGAGGTCTTTGCCATGCCCATGCAATTGCTGCACTGATATTTATTTTACACTATGCTTCTGTCTATTGCTTTATATGTGCACACTGGTAAAAAATTAAAACCCCTTGTCACAAAAGGTGGTATTGCTGTGGAAATTAAGTGAGAAGAGCAGGAGCATCGGGGTATTCATGGGAAAATTATATTTCCAGTAACTAACCTACACTTTAAGCACAGGCAGACACACTATCACTGCTCAATCATAGGGAACTCATGTGCATTCGTACAGCCTCAGTGACACAGAACTTCACGCTAAATAAAGGGACACCAATAACTGCTCAGGTATAGACGGTATATACACAGGTCTGATGGTCTTGCGGAGCCCCAACGCTTTTACCCAGATCCCAGGGCATCACACTGAAACCATTTCTTGATCACTACAGCACAAATGCCTCGAACAGGGTCGCAGAACGGTGTAGCACAGAAGCTGTTGGTGATGAAAAGCTTACGGTAAATGACGGTCTAAGGGCAAAAAAAGCCCAGCAGCGAATCTCATGAAAAGAGCTAGACTTCTTTGCCTTACGGCCATCTCTCACGGACACTGAAGTGAACAAGTTCGAAGCTTCCGTAAGAGATTGAGAAGTAGACGGAGGCTCGTAGCCCTTATGAGCCTCTTGAAGAGGGTTGAACATGGTGCAGCGTCACTCTGCAAGCAGATTACTCCGCAAGTGCGTCACTTTGTAAGCACAGCGTTATGATGCACAATGTTCCCAACACAACCAGAGACCGAGTGCACGCATTGCAATGCGCCACTCACGGGAGCCTGAGCCCCATGCGAGTGTGTCTGTCATGCCTGCCCTGCCCGTGAGTGACCCTCATGTGGGTCCTCAAGTCTCCCGGCCAGCTGAACATCTTGAGGCACATGGTGCACTGGTGTTTGTGCCTGTACGGTCGGTGCATCAGCATGTGCCGCCGGAGGTTTCCCTTGGTCGAGAAGACGCGCTGGCACACGCAGCACACCGTGCCCTCGTCCATGAGCGCGCTTCCCTGTGAACCGTCTGAAAACTCCATGGTCCCGTAGTCCGGAGGCAAGGGAGGCTCCGGCAGCTCCGGCGGAGCCAGTACAGGGAGGGGCGGCGGCCCCACCCCGGGTCTTGGAGGGACACCGAGGGAGCCTGGATCGGATTCATGCGGGACCCAGTTGGTCTTGTCGTCGGAGTACGAGTGGTCGAACGTCCTGCGGTTAGCGGGCGCCGGCTGCTTGGGCAGGCCGCGCGTCTTGGAGGCCGCCCCCGTGGTTGGAGGAGTCTGCGGCTGGAGGTCCGGCTCGAAGGTCGCAGCATCCTGCGATGGGGAGCTCGGGCTCAGTTCCTCCTCGGAGTGGGACGCGGCGTGCTTGCGGTGCGGGGGAGGCGTGTGCTTTCGCTTGGACAAGTGCGTTGGTGGGGTGTGGGGCGAATGGTGCTGGGGCGAGCTGTGAGATGGCACGGCTCGCTGGGACGGGATATGAGACTCCGACGACTGGTGGTGCGTCGACGAAGAGTGGTGAGACGACGACGAGTGGTGCGACGGCGCGTGCTGGCCGGACACCTTGGAACTGGCGGCGTGGGGCGGGGGAGAGTCGAGCACGGGGCTCTCGTTGGCGGTCACCTCGGCGAGCCCCTTCACCTTGAGCAGCTCGGCCGTCTGGAGCAACGTCGGGAGTTGGTCCTGTGCCACATTGATCTCGCCCTTGTACATGAACTCGACGACGGCCCGAAGGTCCGTCTGCCGCGTCTGATTCATGATGACCACGGGGTGCTGGCACGGGTTCTCCGCGAACAGCGCCTGGAAGAAGGGGCTGCACGCGGAGAGGACCACCTTATGCGCCTTGGTGCTCACGCCCTCGCACACCAGCGTCACGTCGACGAAGGCCTCGCGGCTCAGCAGTTCCTCGAACACCGTCACTAGGTTCGAGTGGTGGTGGTTCCACTTGAGGCAGAACTGCTGCGGGGAGAGGCCACCCATCGCTGGTCGCTGGCTCGCCGCCTGCGTGGGACCCAGCTTCGGCGTTTCCGATTGGTGCGATCGGTCAGATTCTGTCCGAAGGAGGTGTGTCAGCAACCTCCGCGCAGCGCGCGGACCGCGAATGCTGATGACGGGGGAACAAAAACTCACGGGTGTTCCTCGGGGCACATGCGGCGTCTGCTTGACCCGCCGCGCGTTGGGCAGCGTGGTCTGCCTGGGATCTGAGGGCTCGGAGCTTGCGTCGATATGATCCGGTGGTGGTCTCAGGACGGATTTTGAGGAGTTTTGCACGCTGTTTCGAAGCAGTTGAGCGGACAGTTGTGTGTGTATTATCCGTTCGCGTTCTTCGCGAGCACAGATGGCAAAATGGTGCGATGACGATCGAGCTCACCGGTGTGCGAAGAGCTCTCCGGCACGCCGCAGCGTAGAAAGTGAAACCGAAACTACCCCTCCTTTCGAGATAGCGCCGCATATTCGCGGCCAGAAGTTTGGGTATTGCCGCCTGTTGGAATTTTTTCGCAACCGAGAGTGAGGAGACTTCAACTTCCTCCACTGGTGCAAGCACGTGCAATGCCAAGCTTGTATGCACTATAAAAATAAAAGCATAACCGCGTGGGTAGCACGTGCACTAAGAGAGGCAGAGCCCTGGAGTGAGGAAAACAGAAGCTCCTTTAGTAACCTTCTCACCGCAAATACAGCTAATATATATATATATATATATATATATATATATATATATATATATATATATATATATATATATATATATATATATATATATATAAAATATTAAAACAGTAAAACATTAGAATATTTGTTTAAATATTTAATTAAAAGAATCAACTTTTTTACTTGAATCTTTTTTTTTTTTTGGTACAATATCCTCCGATTTTTGTAAAGATAAATTTTTAATCAGTTGTTTCGATGCAATTAATTGAGCCTTCAGACCAATGTATAAAGGTTCAAAGGAGCTTATTGGCTTAAAGTGGCGATACAGCGATTCTTGTACTTTGCGCAAATACCGCTTAGAATGGATCCCTGACCTTAATGATATGTGAAACACCCGTCCGTTTTTCACCACACTCAATCTAAATCGCAAAAGAAGAAGAAGAAGAAAAAAAAAAGGCAAGTTAAAGGATAACGATAAAAAAAAAAAAGATAATTTAAGTCATGATTTTAATCACGATAACTTTAATCGCTGATATATGGGTGTCTGAAGTTACCAGGCTCGATCCAAAATGGACCGTAAAAAATCAGCGTCTGCACGTAGCAGTCTAATCTTTTCGTCAAATGCAGTGATGTGATTGCTGCGCCAAACTGCGCCAAGGGACTAACCCTGCTACATCATGCTACATTTTGCCAAAATATGGGTAATCTGCGCCAAACCTGCGCCAAAAACCAATTTTAAACTGAGTACCGTAATTAAGCATGCTTGGGTTACGTGGCGCAAGCGGCCGCCCGACACAAAGGACCCTGCATGAATTGTCCATCCGGTCTTGCATGGTTTTTCCGCCGTCTCGCGTTCTCGTCGTGTCATGGGTCTCGTCTCGCGTCTTTTAAAAAAAATATATATATATATTTTCAACGATAGACGCGGGTGTGTGCGGACGCTCCGACGCTAGCATGCTGGGTACCAGCCATGCCGTCATGCTGTGAAATGAAACCACGTTTTTGCGCGGCATGAGTTACTTTAGCACTCGCTTCTGAAAGCAACGGCCGTGGGAAAACTATATTCGGTCCCTGCCTTCCAGTCAATGTGGTCGCGCAACGTCGGGTCTTGCCGTCCCCACATCGCTGCAGTTATGGCGCTTCCTAAAATGAAACTAATTACCGCCGCATGTTTATCGACATTTCGTTTTTTGTTCTAATCATACGTTACTAAAAAAAACCTTCTTTAACCCAAAGACTGTTGTGTCGAAGTATTAATTACCTAGGTTTCTCTCGGTGGGCTTTCTTTGGAGAGAAACCCCGGTACGTGAAAAATCTGCTGCGAAAGAAAGTTTGTGAAGAGAAGTGAGCTAAAGCGAAGAAGGCAATGTCTGCACGCTGAGCCCGCACAGCGCGCTTGTTTGTCTCAAGTTCAGTCGTTGCATGAAGCGCTCTAAGAACATTTTGACCGTGTCTCGCCATGTTTTGCATCGATCGATGCGCTCAGGTTCTTTTTTTGTGTGTGTTTAGCTTGTACTACCTTGTTTGCCGGCTTGGCAAGCACGCGCCGCTGGACTGTTTTTGTCATACGCTCGACAGTTAAGGCTGGTTCACATATCTGCGTTGGTCAAGTTCGCATGCAACCGAAACGACCGTAACGACAAAGTCACCGGGACAAGTGTTCGCAGTACACAGCATGGCAAGCGATGCGCTTGCCATGCTGTGTACTTAGCGTAGCAATCCATGAGTCACGGTTGTTGCGGTGTTTTGGTCGTAACGGTCGTTTCGGTTGCATGCGAACGCAACCGTTGCAAATGTGTGAACCAGCCTTTACATTTTGCATACAATTTTCGGAATCAGTTGGCGACGGAGCGGAGTGGCATGGTTTCGGTTTCGATCGGACAGCCGTTGTCTCCGCTTGCGCGACGAAGCGCGCGCAACTGCAAGCCTACCGAAGTTGCCCTCACGTGCACGCGAACATGATTGTACGATAGAGGCACCAGCCGGTACGCTTGCAATGCATTTTATCATGTTTGCTTACTTTCGACGAAAATCTGGCACGTCAGGAACCAGTAAAACGGTGGCAAACGGTTTTTCGGAATCACGTCGCATCAGAACACAACACAACACAAAGTGCCCTTTGTTTGTACAGCACTTAAAACAAATATTTTTATTAGGGGCGAAGCTCCTTAGGGTCTAGCCTTGTCCGTCCGGCGTCCGTGCTCACATCGATTGCCATCCCATCTGTCTTCTTAAAAAAAAAAAAAATGTTTGCGCAGTCGACAGGATTCGATCCTGTGCGGGGAGACCCCAATGGATTTCTATTTCATCGCCTTAATTACTCGGCCACGACTGCGGGACGAGTAGGACGCTCTGAGATGTGGTAGTAACTCAAGAGCTGGGGACGTCATGGATGAAACGTTGCATGTAGCCGTTCAACGTCTATACAGGAGAGGGCGCTGCGGTCAAATGCGTATACAATCGCGTTAAAGTTTGCATGCATTGGCTCAACGTTTATAGACGAGAGGGCTCTGCGGTCAAACGCTCAACTCCGTATATAACCACGATCCATACCGCGCATTCTCTTTCTGGCATGGACCGTTGACCTAAGCGGTGGAGATGCGTTCCCACGGCTTCTAGCGGATCCAAGCTGACCCGCCAGAAGGACCACTGGTTCTGCATTTCACCGACCATAAAGCAGTAATAATGCAGTCGAAACGCAACCCGAAACTCAGCCCTACGTTTGAGCCATAAAAAAAAAAAAAATCAGCCCCATCAGCACTACCTATGAACAATAAAATCAGTATCATCAGCGCCACCAGAGCTTCGTCCCAATCAACATCATTCACCACGTGGAGGTGCGGTCTTTTTTTTTCTAAGAATATCAGTTTTAAAAGCCACTATTGCTGCTCCGAAACACTGTCTTGGCTGCTCCAAGAGGTGCTCCAAAATGGCTTAGGCCAATCACATCACTGCAAAGGTGTATTTCACTGGTCGGTTGTAAAATCACAAAGCGTAGCTCTCTTTCTGTCAAAAATAAGGTCAAAAAACTTTTTAAGGTCAACGGCGGAAGGCGACGCAGACGACGGAGTCGAGTGGCGGGGCGTGTTTGGCGGACATATTAATAGATGGCGTCGGGAGCAGTGTCGCTCTGTGTCGGAAGGTGTGGCGGACTAGCTACAGAAAGCAGACGACACGTAGACGAAGTCCGATGGCAGCAAGAGCGCCGTCTTTATGCCACTGCGTTGTTTTTTTTACAGCGGAAATTTAGAAAAAAGGTCCATTGGAACGCTGTCTGCTTTTGTGTGCTATCAATACCCAGGCGATTGAGTCAAGGCAATCCGCTTTCCAAGACGTTGCCATGCCGACAATTACCGTGTTCATTTAGGCTTAGGAATGGCTAAAATCGAAAGACTATCTAAAAAATGCGGCGAGGTCATTGCTCATGCTTTGCGATTTAAGTGAGGTGAGGCAAAGCGGAAGCCTCCTGCACCATTTGTGGTTGACTAACGCGCCCGATATTGCAGCTTCAGCAACATATTAGTTTTAAAGCGAGCGGCGCCCACTCACCGGAGCACCGCCATGTTTCCCCGCATCCCTACCGAGCCGGTCACGTGATTTCAAAATCCCTCTCCTAGGTACTCCGTCTAACTTTAGCCGCGGTTAGCGCTTCGAGCAAACGGGCCCTGGCCCACTTGTGCCAGTATAAGCTTGCTCAAAGCGAGAAACACACCAGATCGTTACGCAGCTACCTTCACGTTGTACGCTAAATTTCCAAGGTTTCTGTTCCCCGCAGACTGGACCCTGCGCTGATTCGGCCGGGCCGCGTGGACGTGCGCGAGTACATCGGACACGCAACAGACTTCCAGCTGGCGGCCATCTTCCGCAAGTTCTACCCGGCGGAGCCCGAGGCCAGTGCCGGGGACTTCGTGTCCGCGGTGCGAACCCAGGTGCCTGGTCCGCTGAGTATGGCGCTCATCCAGGGGTTCTTTATGTTCCACAAGGACGACCCCCAGGGGGCCATAAGGAATGTGGCTGTCATGGCTAAACAACGATGACCAGCGAATTCAATGCTGCGTCGGGTAGTTGTGTGTAGGAGATTGTGTACATCGTGTAAATTGACGGGTTTGAAATAAAGATCCCGCGTTTTTAAGCTGTTAGAGTTGCACCTTGTGTAGTCGAAGTAGGAAAAAAATGAAAGACGTTTACAACTCCCTGGAATGCCGAATTAGAGCGCAGCTCTTGAGGAAGAGGGGAGGGTACGGAAGAAGGGTATGCCCCTCCTCTCCTTTCCTCCTCCCCTCCCACTTAGCGGGGAATTTTCGCTACGTTAGTGAAAAAATTCCCCGCTAAATTTAGCGGAAAAATTTTCCCGCTAAATTTAGCGGTGGAATTTTTATTTTTAAGCATTAGTGGGGATTTTTTTTCTGATAAAGTTTGTGGCAAATGTTTTCGTTAAATTTAATGTGGAATTTTTTTCCCGCTAACTGTAGCGGTTATATTTTTTCCGCTAAATCTAGCGGGGAAGGTTTTCCGTTCAAGTAAGTGGTGAATTTTCCCGCTAAATTTAGCTGGGAAATTTTTCCGCTAAATATAGCAGGGAAATTTTTCCGCTCAATTTAGCGGGGAATTCTCCTCCCTTGTGACGTCACACATGTGGCGTCGTTATGGGAAACGTCCCATCATGCAATCCGCGTTTACGCCGATATCGACGGCGACGCCGCTCAAGCCAGAAACAGGCGCCTAAAAGCTGCGCTCTAAATAAACAGAAACTCAAACAACCTTTTTTTTTTTATTATTAGTTTGAAATTTAGAAGTTTTACGTAGAGGACCTCGGGGAATCACCTTTGTGGTGCCTACCTCGGAGAATCAACGGTATGTCAATAAGTGTTTTTATTGCATTGCGAAGTGAAGCTCATATATCCATTTTCGTTTGCTTCCACGAAGTTGTGTCAGCACAGTCACTTCCAGTGATTCGCTTCTCCAAAAGTCCGTTTCTACAAACCCCTCACCGGTTTGCAGTGACCTGCTTTGGGGCGATACGGAGCTTCGGATACGGCTAAAACCCGAGGGAAAGGGTGAGGTTGCTGGCACGTCGGAGCACCAAGCTCTGACTGAAGTGAGCGTTCGAATACCAGAAGCCGGCGTTTGCCATTCGAACGCGCTCAAAGATTGAGACAACGGTGTCCACTCGCTAATCATTCCAGCCGCAATTCGGTGTCCAGACGTCTCCTCTTCTCCCCGGCAAATTTATGCCGCAACATTGCTGACAAAAAAAAAAAAAAAAAAGTTTTGGAAGCATTGATTTAGCCCGTTGTTCATTACACGTATCGCAACTCGAACGCCCTACAGGTGGTGGGGCGGTAGTTTCAAGATGGCGGAAGAGACGGGGATAGATTCCCCAGGATATCCTGTGCGTCTGCTCGCTGACGCTGTTCAGCGCGCTAAAAAATATTTATTTGTCTAGAAATGCGAAGCGGTCAGGGGAGGATCATATTACAGGTGGCGGACATGTTGATGCGCGTTAGGAAAATGAGCATGCTGTTATTTAAAAGTTGCAGAAACCTCAAAGTGCGAAGCTTTGTGGTGGGCGAGCGCGTTTTAGGCACCGGCCACGTTACTGTTTGTGGCAGAATATTTTTGAGGGTGATGAAGATATGTTCGCGTTCTGCCTGGCCATAAGTGCTCTGAAAAGAGAGCCGCGAACGGTGACCGTCAAGCTTCGGAAGAGCAGCAATACACAGTATTGATGTCTTCGCGTCACAGCCTCTCAAATCGCTCTTCGCCGTCTCGGTCTATACCCTGTTCACACGGGTCACCTAAAGGACCTATAACTTAGGTCCCTTTGCTAAAGGTACCTGGGGTAAAGGACGTTCGGAATCACACGGTAAATGAACGAAAATAAACGGAGTCTTTACGGTCGATGTTTACTGCATTGGGGATAGCCCGGGTAAACCGCAGGGCAAAAGAACACTATATATTTCCGTGTCTAAACAGTCATGAGGCACATTTTTAGATTATTAAATGTGACACATTGCGTTAAAATACTAAGTAATAATTGTAATGTTTCTTTTATTGCAATGTTCACCTAAAAAGTAGTTTTTCGTTAGAACATCCGGCTGGTCCTTAGGCTGGACTGGCCACACTGGCCCGGCGGTTTGTTTTGGAGACGGTTCCGAGCCAATTTTCCGAGCACTGTGAATCCGAGCACGTGGTACCGAAGTTTTGTCGGTTTTGTGACCGTTTCTTTCTGCTCCTCGGATTTTCTCTCTTCTGCGTTTATCGCTTCGATTGCTTCGGTCCCGGAAGAACCGTCACAGACCCACCACCCTCCAAGTGACGGGCCGCGACCACGACCAGCGTCTCCCGATGGACGACGACGAGTGTCTGGGAATTATGTGGTCGCTGCAGCAACAACGGACACAGTTCCTTCTGCTCGAGGAGCGTATACAAGCCGCGGAAACGGAAGCGGATGAGCTGGAGGAGAAGCTCATGGCCACAAACTTTACGGTCGCCGCTCTCCTTGCGGAGAAGTGGACTACGATCCCACGCGAGCGGGTAGTCTACGTTCGGTCGGGGAGGTGGTTTGAGGAGACGCTGCCTAGAATGGGCGATCAGCATTCCCGTGCTTGTTTTCGCGTCTCCTCGACCACCTTCCGGTATCTTGTGGACGTTTGCCGGCCGTCAATGCTTCGGCAAGACACCGCCATGAAGACGGCAATAACGGTGGAGAAGAGGGTGGCCATCAGCCTGTACAGGCTCTGCTCCACCGCGGAGGAACGAACAATTGGCCACCTCTTTGCCGTTGGCCAGTCGGTCGTCAATGAGACGTACCGAGAATTTTGCGACGTCGTCATTGAGGAGCTCGAGGCGCGCACAATAACAATGATCCGAAACGAAGATCTCGACAACCACATGCGCGAGTTCCAGGCAGTGCTGGGATTTCCCAACGCCATCGGGGCTCTCGACGGCTGCCACCTGCCTGTGTCGCCACCAAAGGACTTGGCTGTTGACTACCACAACTATAAAGGATGGTAAGCAGACACTGATACTCGTTTCCTGCAGACAACTTTGCTTATTTTATAAAATTTCAGGGTCAGAAATTAAGTACTTGTACTAAAGTATGCTGCACACAAGGCTATAAACCAGATATAGATACGGGTGTAGTCACGCCAGAGACCATTCCCTTTGTTATTTCGTTATTTTGTGCCCCTAGCCAAGTTAAACCCATGATGTCACCAAAGCACCTGCAGAGTGAGCAAATCCAACTGCCCGTGGGTGGGAGGCACATCAAGGATCCATTTCACAAACAGCACTACTTACATTCAGTAGCAAGCAATTTAGCTATGTTTGTTGTGTGCGGTGCTTTTGCTGTTCCTTGCTCACATGTGGTCACTTTGTTTTAGGTACAGTGTCATCCTCCTGGCCCTGGTGGACCATAGATACCTCTTCCGCTACATCAGCGTGGGCACCCCTGGGAGGTGCCATGATGCGAGCGTCTATCGGCGCTCCCCACTGGCGCATCTGCTCGAGCAGAACCAGACTGCTGTGCCAAGGGTCATTGATGGCACGGAGATACCTCCCCTCGTCCTGTGTGATCAGGCTTTTTCCCTGACGAGGAACTTGATGAAACCATTCCCCCACAGCCTCAACCACCCCCAAGGGAAAGGGGACTTTAACTACGCCCTCTCGAAGGCCAGGCGCGTAGTCGAAAATGCGTTTGGTCGTCTGAAGGCCCGCTTCCGCATCGTCCTCAAGCGGATGGAAATGAGAATCGACCACGTGAACACTGTCGTCAGAGCCTGCTGCACCCTACACAATATCTGCGAGATGCTCAACGACGGGGCGGAGAAGCAGTGGGTCGACGCGGCCAGGAAAATAGAAGAGAGTGCAAAGCGCGAGCAGCCAATGCACAGGACCAAGGCCACAGAAGATGGCGCCGATGCAGTGCGGGATGCGCTCGTTGCATACTTCGAGGCGAACCCGCCCTCTCAGCGCGGCTAAATCCCAGACGTTCGCCCTCTCAGCACGACTGAAACCCGAGACGTTCGCACAGTAAACTACAGAACACTAATTGGTTAAAGGGGCACTGAAGCCATTCTTTAAGGTCTTTTTTTATGTTGTATTCTTTACAAAGTGTTAGTGACTACATATATCAAATTCTATAATACAAAACTGTTTATTCATCTCGGGGCAATGGGAAAACATGCGGACTCTTATTTCTCGTGGGGTACAATCTCTGGACCACAGAAAGTCCTACAATATGCACTACATGCCATTAATCTGTCCACGTGACATTGAATTCTCATTGCTATTCCAGGCAGTGAAAAAGAAATAAATATTCCTTTTCTGAGCTGGCTCAACCACTCGCATGACACAGCAGTTTTCATTTCTTTTCAGCAAAGCATGCTTTGTCCACTTAAATACAGGTCATTGCTACAGTAAGCATGAAAGCCCAACCAATTGAGATTTCACAGTACAGTCGGTTAGAAATAAAACGCGACCAGCGGCTGCATGGTCTTCACTAGACTCTGCGCTTTCTGCTTCATACAGAGGTTGCGAGTGCGGCTTTTGTTTTGATATGTTAGTCACACACCCGGTGCATCTCAAACTTAGGCGTTCCTCTTTTAAAAGAGACAGCATCGGACAGAACCGTGTATCCACTGTTCGTTCCATGCTGACCGTACATATACGTGTAGGCTCTACATAGGTGCCAGTAATCACGCACCACAATTGTAATAAGCAGCTGCACAGTTAAAATTGCAGACTGGCTAGTTGTTCTTGCTATATCATTGATGTTTGCATTTAGTTTACCTTGTAGCTGCACCTGCGTTTCAGTGCCTACTAACTTACAGATTTTTACCAGTTTTATGACGATTGTCCCATCCTGAGCAAAATATCTTGAATCTGGATTCAAATGACAGAAGCATGTAGCCCTTCAATGCTTCCAATCCAAACTCAAGTAAAAAGAGGGATATTTCTCAGAGTTTCCGTTTTTATTTTTCCTTCTGGGACCTCATGAAATCCAGGAAATCCCGCTGGAGCTGGTTCGACTCCTCCATTATCAAAAACTGCCGTTGCCGGTCTTGGTGGGCCCTCTCCCTAGCTTCGGAAAGCTCTTTCCTTTGTTTTCTCTGCTCCTCAATGAACAGCATGAGAA